TTTCAGTTCTTATTCTCATTTCTTCTAACTGCAACTCGGTCACGAACTTGAGTTCTTGACAGCACATTCACCAAAAAATGACTTAGCACATTAATTTGTGCTTGACGACGCTCTTCTGCTTGTCAATTTAACGAAGCCCTTTCCTCCCTCCTTAGTCCAGTGAGAGTAGCGACGAGAAGGTTCTTTACAAAACGAGAATACAATACAAAACGAGAGAAACAATACAAAACGAAAAACTAGAAAAAAATGTCCTCGGAGAAGTTCTCGGCTACACTGAGTATAGGGGATCTGAATGATTATATAGCACCATCTCAGGGATGCGTTGTTTCGTTCAAGGCTAATTCCAATTCTAATCCAAGGCTTCTACTTCCTCCTGCTCTTCCAGGCTCGATAAATCTTATGCTGGGGTGAATTACTTCTTTTTTCCGCGGCCTTTTTTCCATTTTTTGGTTGATTTCTGGATAATCATACATCAGTGTTATGATAAGGATTTTAATTTCAGCTCCTAAATTTTTTAAACTGTAAAGTAGTCATCTTCTTCCAGCTATCTTAGTTAATCTCAATTTTTTAAAAAAATTCCCAACGGAGGAATTTGCTGATTTCTGGTCTGGTTATTCTGGGGGTTTTTGGTCTAGTAATTATGAAGGAGCAATTTTTTCCTTGTTTTCTACCTGAACATACGTTTACTTAAATGGTGAGTTTGTGAAATCGATATTAAATGAAAAGAGGCATATCTTCTTACATGATTATCGGAATTTCACCTTCGTTTTGTCTAATTCTTTGTAATCTTTGTTAATGGGCAGAACTCTGCTAAACTTGGGTCAGCTATCAAACCATTGGAAACTGAACCTGTAAAAATTTCACTCAATGACTGTCTAGCTTGCAGGTATTATTTCTTTCTCCACCTGCATCGGTCCTCTCTCCTTTCATCATTTGAACTCTATTTTGAAATTACAGATAGCTATAGCAAGTGGCAATACCTTTATATTCTTGTTTGCTTCATCTTAAAGCAAATCTGGGATTAATGTCTTACGTTTTCAACAATGCATATAATTTTTACATTGCTGAATGAGAATAGATACGGTAACGATTTCATAGTAATAAATGCCTGTTTAAGGATAATGATGGTGCAGATTCTGAAGGTCCTCATTGTGGATACAGAACAGCTGTTCATTACTGTTTCTAGCTGTTGAGGTGACATTTTGACACGTTAGTCTAGACGTTGAAAAAGCTCAAGTAGAATTGTGGTGACTCGTACATATATAGATCCATATTTTGGACTGACAACAATGCTTAGGTTTCGTCTTTTACCTTTATTTTCAAGGCTGATTTCTGCATTGGTATTTCTCTGACTATCAGTTTCATAACATGAGTTGCTTATCACTCCATTACTATATTAGGTTTAACAGTTATAATACACTAACTATTGAAATGAAAAAGTGGTCAAGAACTCATTATGAGGTTCATAACATGAGTTACTTATCACTTCATTACTCTATTAGGTTTGACATGTATCGGACATGAAATGTTGAAACAAAACAATTGGTCAGGAACTCATTATGTGCATGGTGATCTTTGCAGTGGGTGCATAACCTCGTCCAAGACTGTGATGCTTGAGAAGAAGAGCTTAGATGAATTTCTTTCTAATATCAATAAAGGAAAGGCTGTCATTGTCTCTGTGTCTCCCCAGTCTAGAGCTTCTCTTGGTGTTGCCTTTGGCCTTTCTCCGCTTCAGGCAAGTTTATTTTCATACGTAGTGTTATGGATAGCAAACCAAATGAGCTTTTCACTTTGCATTTTAATCTTATAATGGCTTTATATGCCTATGACAATCCTTGCGCTTCAATCCAGGTTTTCAAAAAGCTGACGACATTATTTAAGGCGTTGGGAGTGAAAGCTGTTTTTGATACCAGCTGCAGCAGAGACTTAACACTTATTGAATCTTGTTATGAATTCATAACTAGATATAGACAATGTCATTCTACTACTGACTGATAAGAAATCCAAATTGGGCCTACCCTTGATTTCTTCTGCCTGTCCAGGTATACGACCGAACATCCAATTCCTTATTGACTTTTATTCTTGTTACCAGCCAAGAAACCTTGATATTTATAGTTTTACTGAGGATCAACATGTAAACAGCTTTTAGTGGAGCTACTGTTTTGCCGTTTTGCATTCTTTTTCTTTGTTGTATTCTTCTCATTGGCCTGGCTATTTAAGTGCCTGCTCGACTCTTTTATGTGTTTGTTATATGATTGTGATTGTTCATTCTTTAAATGCAGCCTGGATAAACTATGCCGAAAAAATCTTGGGTCATATATTTTGCCTAATATTTCATCAGTCAAGAGCCCTCAACAAATCATTGGAGCTATTATTAAGAACCACGTCTGTCAGATGCTGTACCAAAGGTAATATACCATACGAGTGCCGAAGTCTATGACCATTCTTTGTCCTGGTTATTTACGCCTTTTGGCACTTAAATCTTGGACTAGTTACTTGACCATTGCTATGATGCTGAGAGCTGAGCTCTTTTAAGAGAAGTTCAGGATATATGGGGATAAGATAGTAAATATTGCCATCAATATAATTGCGAGTACTTACTCCTTGTGTGCTTGAAATGTGGAACAGTGGAATAGTCACTTTACTATTGCTATGAAGCTGCTGATTCAGCTCCTTTTAATACAACTTCAGGATAAATAGTACCATCACTTCCTTCCCAGATTAGAACTTCACATTTAGAGGTCCTAACGTAATGGTGTATTGATGGTCTAATTACATATTTGTAAGCAGTCTGCGAGAAACTGCACTGGTCCTTTTTTTGTGCCTTTTGCTTGTTGACTCTTTCGAGTTTGAGAGTGGTTACTGGAGCTAGCAAGTTGTTCTTCTTGTTCAGGACAGGCAAACAAGTAAACTAGTTGCTTGGTTGCAGTATATGTATACTGTTAACCCATTTGTGTGTAATCTGCATGAAGGAATCACATGATGTTTGATACTGGATGCACAGAGATTATATCCCAGTACTTTATTACATGGATTAAATTTCACTGTTGACAGTGATTTGTTCATGACAGGCCGGAGGATATATACCATGTAACAGTGATGCCATGTTATGACAAAAAACTCGAGGCTGTTAGGGATGCCTTTGTATTTCAACTTGATGCACAAGGTGAAAAGATCGTGGAGGTGGATTCAGTGTTAACGACAGTAGAGTTGTTAGATCTGATAAAGGTAATTTTTGATTTCTTTAAATGGTAAAATGGGCTAGCGCCAAGGGAGAATATATACTTTTCTAAGATCGAATTCAGTCCTGTGGTTGATGGCATTGTTTATTATTTGGAAGCATGGTCCGTTCCCCACTTTCTCCATCCTCCATCACTTTATCAAAAACATTTCTTCAAGCATTTGTGGCTTTTGTGGCTTTTTTCTCCTGGAAAGTGGGTTGTTGCGGATGTTTGGACATTTATTGACATGCTTCCTGAATTTGATTTTTTGCAGTCAAAGTCAGTTGATTTTGCGCAAGCTTAGAAGAGTCGCCGCTAGACAACTTGTAAGAAAACTTGTCACTTTTTTCAATTTCTCTTGTTCTGCAAGAGCAGCCGTTGACAATACTAGTTTTCACTTCCTACAGGTTAACGAATCTTGATGAAGGCAACCTCCTTTATGGCGTCCGTGGAAGCTCTGGAGGATATGCGGAGACAATATTTCGTTATGCTTCTAAAAATCTTTTTGGCAAGGAAATTGTTGGTCCTCTCAACTTCAAGACTATAAGAAATCCTAATTTCCAAGAAGTGACGCTTGAAGTAAGTCTGTCCATTTGTCATATTTGCTCTATCAACTCACAAGAATGGGAAGACTGGGTCCTTTCTAATATTTAAATGTCTAGTGGACTTGTAGCCGTGCATGGGTATCTGGAGTCTCACCATCCTATCAGGAACTAAATTGATTGACACCTCCTTAGACAGCTGACCATTCCTTGTGAACCGCATCTCTTGTTGAGTTAGCATCCATTTGTATGGAGATACTTAAAGTTCTTCCATGATCTCAAATATACATGTATCTAGTTTTGGCTGGCACTGAATTGCATGATAGCTGCTTCAAATTGTAATTTATACTATCATCAAGTTACTAATGATGATTACTCTTCTGGACATTAGATGGCCTTGTAAGTTCCAAAATTGATCTACATTAAGTTGTAATTTTTGCTCATGTTAATCTGCAGGTAGAAGGAGAGACCGTCTTGAAGTTTGCTCTCTGTTATGGTTTGCAAAACCTGAAACAGGTTGTTAAGAAAATTGATTCTGGAGAATGTGAATATCAGTTTTTGGAGATCATGACTTGTCCCTCAGGTAGATGTGTTCTAAAGCTGCTCGTTTGCAAGTCATATTAATATTGATTTGTGCTATAGCATATTAAAAAATTTATGTGAAATTGTGTCTTTTCCACTAGCAGGATGCTTAAATGGTGGAGGTCAAATCAAGCGTAAGCCTGGTGAATCTGTCGCGTCGTTGGAATTGAAATATATGGAAAATGTAAGTCCAGGATTCAGACTTTGTACTCCTGATTTCAATCTCTCTATTCTGTTTTGGCTTGGAAGTCCATCCCCCATTTAACACACACAGAAAAAGAAATTTATCTCCGTGGCATGCTTAGAGGACCATGTGCTCTCTCTTTGAACTCGGCAGATGAGGGCAAAAGATGAATTCAACTTTCTGTACAGCATGACCGGTTAATTGACGTTTCCCCACTCATGCCTGTGGTTTGTAGAGAGCTCCACCAGTTTCCTATTTATGTCTGCCATCTACCTTACGATTTCTCAGTCGAGTAGTCAAACTGTTATTCATCCAATATAAAACTGTTATTCATCCAATATTTTATACATATTGTCAATGTGGAAGGTATGTTGTATTAGCATGTCCAGTATTATGTGCACTAGTGCTGGGAAATGTTCATGCTTTCTGCTCCTCTTGTTGTTTAATAAGGGTTCAAGTAACTGGTAAATATTTTTTTTTTTTGGTTAGGTTATCGAGGCTGACCCTTTTGAAAATCCCATCATTAAAGGATTATATACTGAATGGCTTGATCAACCTGGTTCAGAGAAAGCAACTAAACACATGCATACAGAATACCACCCTAGAGTGGAAAGCAGAACTTCTCAGTTGCAGAACTGGTAAGCGGCATTGCAGGACTGGTCAGCCAACAGCTTTGACGAGCGTCTGATGATCTCAACTACAATTCTGGTGAACCACTCTTCAAGCACATTTTCTAGTTTCTTCGTGTGGCTGTTTCTTTTGTTGATGTTTGTCTCCTTTCGTACCAAATCATATCATCTATTACCATCACATGTATCCTTTTTATTTAATATGCAGTAATGAAAGATCGAAAATGACGGAGCATCCAGAGCCATCATTTTTGCCTTTGGGTTGATAGAGGCCGGCTTGTACCACAGCTAGAGCTGGCAAATTAGACCCTCCTTGGCCTTTAAACTAATCAATTATAGCATTCACGGACCACCCACTCAAAATTCACAGACTTTCCCAACGGTTTTGAAGCACTCATAAGCAGGATAAGCAAAACCCAAATACCATTCTGCAGAACAAAATTATAAAACTGAGAAACTCACACAAACACAAAGAGAAGCCTAATAAATCTTCTTCTTTAAAAGGATGCAATGCTATGCTTACACAAGTCCTATTGGTGAGAAAAGACCCAATCATGTTGGTTACCTAATTAACAAAAAAAAGTAAAAAGCTATAAGCGCAGCTATACATTGGAAAACAAAAAGGATTCATAAACCTGGAAGAAACTTACCCCTTCAGCGGCATGGATTTGGGAACGACTTTTGAAAAGGGAATAAACATGTCAACTGCAAAAGCTAAACCTCTACCAATTTTGTTTGAAAGCAATTAGGAAATGTAAGACTCGGATTTCAGAACGCCATATTCTAAATTTCCTTTTGTTTTACTCAGAGAAAGTAATCGTTGTGTCCTAAAAGAGGAAAAACCTGGAATTATACTTGTTCTTTCTATAATATGATGCTCAAACCAACCCCCAAAAAAAAAAAATTTGCTGTTGTTTTTGAGTGTTCAAATGGTTAGCTATGTGTCTAATTTTGAGTGACGCTGGCCCAAGATCTGTCACCCACTTGACTTGACCTGTGACTGTGAGACTTTCAAACATGGGAACCAGCTTCAGACAATACCCAAAAAAAAAATCATATCAATCAAAGTCGCCCTTACCCCAATTTATAACGGGCCCATAAGCGATGGATCCTATCTAGACCCAAAAGAAAAGCCATACCCACAATTGCGCTTACGTTTGCTCCAGCTTTCCCATGTGTAGGAAAAGAGAGAAGCATTTTATGCTGTCAATTTTTTCTAGGGTCCGGTCGTAATAATGGAGCCATTATTGTTATTGTTTTCCCTTCTGGATTTCCAATAAAGGGCGAATAAATCTGAAGTCAGAAGAATAAATAAAGCATGCGATTCACTGGAATATATTACCCTTATCCATCATTTTTTGACTTATGAGAATTTTAAATCTGATGCTCCAACTTGACAAATATAAAACATTATTGAATTAGCTGTCCATTTTCATTCTCTCTCTCTCTCTCTCTCTCCCTTTTTTTTTTTCCCCTCCTTTGTTTTGTAAGATTCCCATTTGTTCGATCTTATCAGCGGAGAGTTGATCATCTCAAGAAATTATTCCAGTTTTGGTTCACTCATTTCCTAAACACCGAAATCTTTCGTTTCTATCTCTTCAGCAAAAGTTATGAAACAATAATCATTCACAGTTTTGATGCACGGGATTATTTTGACGTTAAAATCATTTCTTTATTATTTTTCCAGTATATTAGCAGATATTGGATGGTAAATTTTGAATAAGGTCATTTATATAATTTTTTTTTTTTGGTAATACTTTTCTTCTCATTGGCCTAATGGCATTGCTATAAAGTAAGGATTTGAACTCAAGACTAATGTCCTGAGGCCTCAACCAGTTTTTTTTTTTTGGTCTAAATTAAGCACTCCAAATTCTGTGAGTTTATTGCTCAACATTTTTTTTATAGTGTAACTTTCTAATTCCGTCAAAATGGAAAAAAAGGCACACTTATTTAAAAAAAAAAATTTTTTTGATCTACAAAATATAGCACTCAATCCATCATCAAACCCTCCCAAAAAAAAATAAAGCAAGGAAATTTTACCGACTTTTAAAAGTATTTTTATTGTTTAACCATTTTAATTGCAAAATTTAAAAAAGGATTTAACATTTTAAACAAATTAGCACTTGCTAATTGTACTCAGTTCAATTGCATTTTTTAAAAAAAAAAAGAAGAGAAAATTGTCAGTAATATATAAGGATCTAATTATGGAAGTTTAGATTCTGTTTCGACTGCTACTTTTTGGGAGAAAATTCTTTATTTTTTATGAAATTTATTTTACATACTATTTTTCAATCAACATTTTACTTCACATATATTATATTTTAAGAAGCATCACAATAATTTTCTCCAAAATTTCTTTAGAGATCGCATCCACACAACCTCTTGTATTCTTGCAAGAGACTAGAGGCAATCCTCCTCACCCTCACATGATAGTAAGGTAGTTCGATTGATACAACCTTGGCTAAGTTTGGGAGTTTAGGATAGAAAAGAGAAGAAGAGAGAAACTTAAGTTATGAGAGAAAGAAGAGAAATGATTGTTTTGTTGTTTGGGAGTTTTGAAAATTAGTGAAATGATTTTAATATGATAATCATTAAATATTTGTTCCAGACATTTTTAAGGACAAAATAGATATTTTAAAAAGTTTTCACAAGTTTTTTTCAACTTTCTCTCCATTTCTCTCCAATTTGGGAGGAAAAATTTTGCGCTACTATTCATCCTCTCAAATCCTTCCATTTCCCTTCTTTTCTTTCCTACTAAAAACTAACAAATAAAGGAAAAGTTAACTTTCTCTTCTTTTCTGTCCAAATCCTTCACTCCCAAACGAAACTTAAACGGACAAACTGAAATTTTCAAAGTAAAAATTTATTCCCCACTAAAAAAAAAAAAAAGGGCGTTCCAGATCAGTTAAAAGTTGAGCATGTTCTCGCCCCGCCCCAGCAGACAGTCTCGCTAACACATGCGCCCACTCGCCCATCCCACTCTCTCTCAATAGACTTTTTCTCTCTGCATTGGGGAAAAAAAAAAAAAATCGGACGCCATGAGTAGCTCTTCTCCTTCTTCCCGTAAGGTAAAACCTATTCCTGTACATGCATAAGAACGTTAGTTTTCAAATTTTTGTTTTTGGTTAAAACTGTTGATTATGTTATCTAAATATTTGGGTGATTTTAATTGGGGGTTTTAAAATGAGGCCTAGGGTTTGAGCAAGATCGCATGCAACCGCCTACAGAAGGAGCTGGTGGAGTGGCAGGTGAATCCCCCGGCTGGATTTAAGCACAAAGTTACTGATAATTTACAAAGGTTCTTTCTTTTCTTTTTCCTTTTCCCCCTTGTCCTCAGAACCATTGCTCAGAATTTCGAAATGAGATTTTTTTTTTTTTTTGTATAAATGATGATGGGGTTGGAGTACAGGTGGATAATTGAAGTCAACGGTGCACCGGGAACGCTTTATGCTAATGAGACTTATCAGCTTCAGGTTGATTTCCCCGAGCATTACCCTATGGAAGCCCCTCAGGTTAAATGCAAGTCCCTTTTTTTTTAATGTTTTAATTTTCAAAAAATTTCTGAGGGAAATTTTGTTTCTGGCTTTTATGATGTGGGTTTTGTTGGGCTTTTGATTTTATAAGAATTTATGGGATTTTGCTGCTTTTAATAGCTTTTGCGTGGTGGTTCAGTTTTTAAGTAGCATTCTCATATTTGTCATTATTATTATTTTTGGTTTGGGATTGTTGAGCAGGTTATTTTTCTTTCTCCGGCTCCACTGCACCCTCATATTTATAGCAACGGACATATCTGTTTAGGTTTGTATCGTTACTCCTTTTGCTTACTTTCATTGGCACTTATGTTCAACGTTGATTGTCGTCTTCTGCCCTCTTAGATTCTTTTTCCCTTCTTGGTTAAACGATGATGATGCAGTGAATTGTTTCAGAATAGAGGAGAAAATTGAAGGATACTAATTTCATGAAATGGCTTTGGTTTGTTGTTACATGTATTACTGCTTTTTCACACAAGAAAGAGGGAATATATTTCTAAGCTATAGAGTACATGTTAGTGATTGAAATGAATAAACTCCCTCCATAGGTTTATCTTATAATGTTAAAATTGGATGGGTTATGAAGCCAAAGATAGATTTTATGTGGATTTTACGTTCAGAGACATTAGGGTAAAGTTGTTGGCTACTTTGGTTTAAAGAATGTTGGATTTACTTTCCTTGGACCATTGGGAAAGTTATTGGAGTTTCATATATGTGAAGAATGTCATACATTTGATGTTAGCTAGATGTCTTACATTCCTTGGACATTTTGGAAAGTTTTGGTTCTCATTCTAAGTCCCGAGGGTTATATATTTGATGATTTGGGGTAAAAGTTTGATGTTTGTGGTGCTTGCATCTGGAGGCGTTTTGTTTCCCTGGTCTGTGGTTGTAATTAGCTACGGGATGATACATTTGCCTGAAGAATGGTGTACACTTGTGTTTATTCATCGTCTAGCAATGTGCTTATGGTACTGCCCAGAGTTTCTAAGTTTTGAACAAGATGAGTTGGCATGGATGTTTGTCATGCAAATCTCTCTCAATCATGCTGAACTGCAAATCAATTGAACATTATCTAACTTTGTTATTGATATAGCAGTGGCTTGAAGGCGGTTTAGTGCAGGAATCGTTTTAATTTTATATATATATATATATCTTGTTTGCTCTGTTTAGTTATTATCTTTACCCACAGATAAACAGACTGGTAACCATAATTATACCATATTGGGTATAAATGATTGCAAAACTCAGATTTCAGAATGGAAGGATGAAAAATTAGGTTCAGATTGGAAGGATAAAAAACTGAGCTTCAGATTGGAAAGATGAATTAGTAATTTTTCTAGTTATGCTTCTGCATGTGTTAATATTAGTCTTCTATGCAATTCAATCATGGTACTTCAGAATAAAAAATACTAGTTAAACTCTTGCTGCTTCTCATATCATGGTTGTGACGGTGGCAGACATTTTGTATGACTCCTGGTCCCCAGCAATGACTGTCAGTTCGATTTGCATCAGCATTCTTTCCATGTTATCCAGCTCTACTGTAAAGGTGTGTTTGGTCTGAAGTTTTCTGCTGTGCTTCCTTTATCAATATGCTTGAGCAGTGCTCCTTTTAGTGAAATTTTTTTCTCTCACAAGGTTTTTCCTTTGCAGCAACGCCCAGCGGATAATGATCGCTATGTGAAGAATTGTAGAAATGGCAGATCTCCAAAGGAGACACGATGGTGGTTCCATGATGATAAAGTGTAATGACCCATTGTTACTGATTGCTGTTAAGACCTCTAACACTACCTTATCCATGTTTGGGTCCAAAAAGTTCACGTTTCTTTCCTGGTCGATGGATTAGGAAGGTCGAGGACTTTCTAAAACTTTTAGAAAAGGAACCCTGTATTGGAATGCCCTAGTTGGCTTCCGGGCTTTGTTAAGTCTAAGCAAATATATAAAAGCTGCTGTAAGGTGGCGATCTTTGGTGTATGCTGTATTAATATTATTAATTGGCTGTGTGAATCGGAACCCAGCTGCTGTTGTTACGTTGCCTTGGGAGCTAGGAACGTCAAGTCTGAAGATGTCTCGCCCTCGCCCTTCTCTACGCCCCGCCTTTCAAATAGTGTGTTACAAATATCACACCTTTAAAACCTTTTTTTATATAAAAAAAAAAAAAAAAAACCAAACATCATCTTGACATGGCTGGTTTATGTTTTGGTGTTGAGCGATGGTGCTTGCAGAAATCATCTAGAGCCGAAGGCATGTGCTTCCGTGGAGTACATTCAGATGATGTCTTGTGTGGATTTAGCTTGTTACAAGGTGATAACACACCTTGATACGCTCTATCTTGATTGAAATTGAAGAGTTTCCTCGGCAAGCTTAGCTTCATTGCACAGACTAGAGAGCTGTGTCTCTGCAAACTTATAGCGCAACTAACACAGCCGCAGTAAGAGTGTCATAATGCAGAAGAGGAGTAGGGAGCGTCAAACTTGGTCAAGGCTGGATATCCTATTTCTCAGTAATTATCTCGAGAGGATAAAAATTGAAGTTAAACAATACTGAAATCAGTACTGCTGTTCCTGCAGTTCTCGGATGTAATCTTCAGCTAAATGGATAAAAAAAAAGGGAAAAAACTGAAGCATGAATGAATGATCAAGAGAATATTTTCGTGAGGTATGATGGTCTGGACGACCTTTGATTCCCCAGCCAATGTTGCATATGCACTCCGATGGCATCCAGGTACATCCCACTCTTCCCATGAAACCCTACCACCTTTCCTTCTGTGGTTGTTGAGCTGAAATAGTTTCCCAACTCCTCGCCAAACGGACCACACATCCTCCTACTCGTGTGAAAGGTTAAAGATTTGATGACCTGTGTCCCTGGTCTTTGTTGACAGGACCATAGTATCCACTTACTCGAGTTAATACCTCGTGAGGATACTCTAGTTTTACCTGTAGTAGATTAACAGAACAATGTCGGAAACCATAATAGTAAGGCAAGGCAGTGGGTAGAAAAGATAAAAATGCATGTGTGTTTTTGCAAAGTAAGCAATCAGCTCAGCCTCAGTGGGCAAAATTAGCTTGCTAGTGAACGTAATGTTTTTACCCTGGTTGCTGTTACTCCATTACCACCATGTCTCACTGACCACACAGATTGTCCGTTTCTATCATACTCAATTTCCATGCTGCAGATGGCCTCTCTCATAGTCAAAATAATCTGTTTAATCCCTGTGAATACTCCATCGTCCCATGGTTTCCCACCCACACCGCCCCATGGACCTGGTCCGTAAGGAGCTGGATCTTTCACTACTCGCTGGACAGCCTGAGAAGAAAGAGTAACAAAATTTGAAGGACCATCGCGGAGTGTTGTCACCTGAAAAAAACAAAAAAACAAAAAAAGAGAGTACCTCCTGCATTAGTCCGTGCCTTCCTAATTTGAAGGACCATTGTGGAGTGTTGTCAGCTTCATTGATGGACGGTCCTCTCTGAGCAATGGAGCCGGATGGAGAACTTGATACTGGAGTGGCTTTGCCTTCTAATACATGAACACCAATTGCATCAAGAAACAATCCCTTCCGTCCATGAATTCCCACAATCACTCCCCCTCTCAGTTTGGTCGAAAATGATTGTCCTTGTTCATCTCCAAAGGGACCGTGTTTCCAGTTTGTAGTATGGAAAGTCAGAGATTTGATAATATTAGGCCCCATACCCATTGCAGGGCCATAGTAGCCTGTTATGTGAGTCAAGATTTCAGATGGATAGTTGAAGACTATCTGCCAAATGTTGAAAATTTTCAGTGATCAAGTGATATAGAGCTACAACAAAACCAGCATATCTCTGACATGGCAACTAAGCAGTATTTCATTTTACCTTGTCAGATTTATATCCACCACTACCGCCATTTTTGCTTCCCCATTGAGGCTGCCCGTTCAGATCATAACAAACTCTTATGGAAACGATTCCTATGTTTCTAGATAAGTGAATTTCCCGGATTCCGTCATAGACTCCATCATCAAACAGAGTGCCACCGTTACCACCCCAGGGTCCATATGTCATGACTCCTTGTACATTTTCTGAGGGTACTCTCGAAATCTTGGACGGAACCACATCGACATCCTGGAATATGGTTGCATAACGAATCATATTCAGCAGCATCGTACAAAGGACTAGTGCAAAACTAAGTTGTAAAGCGGTCTATGTACCTTGTTTTGGGATTCCACCCGGCTGAACTCGCTTGAGTTTGAAGTTTGCCTCGACCAATTTTCTGGAGTAGAATTACTACGATACTGCCCCTTCTGCCTCACTGCAAGAATCAGATCATAGCTATTCCCGAGATTACCTTGTAGCATTGAGTACTCGTATGTTTCCGCCCCTGGACAACATAGTTTTGCGAATGCATTATGGAATTTGATGGAATCAGGTTGGTGAGAGGCTCCAAATGAACTCCTATAGCATCTAGAAACCAGCCACAGTTTCCATGGAACCCTACAATTTTGCCTTGAGTCATTGGAAATGTGAAGTACGTCCCCTGTTCGATACCATAAGGTCCGTATGATCTTTTGTTGCTTTCAAATGTAAGAGATCGAATAAAGATAGGCCCCCATTCTTGCAAGCTACCATAAAATCCATGAATGGACGTTAGAAACTCGTTCGGATAATCTAGCCTGACCTGCAAATCATGCAAACAGTGACATACAAGCAAACTTTGGCAATCAGCATATGATCAGATAACATGAAGTTAGTCATTAAAAAACTGATTCGGAGAAAGCCAGCCGCTCAACCATATTTTGAGAAACTCACCTTGTCAATTTTAGCGCCTCCATTGCCGCCATGCTTTTCTGACCACATTGAGGTGCCATTCCTGTCATATTCAATCTGAATGCAGTCAATGCCTGCACCATGAGCTATCACCAATTGCCTTACAGTGGAGTATACTCCATCGTCCCAGTGATATCCATCTTGACCTCCCCATGGACCTACAGAAATGGAATGTTTTCCGTATTCCTGAAAACGATAATTCATTACTAATGTGATAAACAACATTAGAGAAAAGTTCATTTGATAGCCATTATTATTATTATTGTAACAAAATTTAGTCTTACCATCATTAAGTGCAGAGGGCCAGCGGTAGACTGTCAGAGCTTGAATGCTTGTGGAATGACGGTGAAGAACTGAAGATGCATCTAAATATATGGAGCCGATGACAGAGGAGTTTGTAGTGATGATTGTGAAAAGTTTCAGGTGCTTGACTAGGAATTCGGTGATCCCCTTTAGGAGGGAAACAGTACAAAAGTAGAGAATTTGATTCCCAAACATGACAAAGCCTTGATAAATACCGTATTCCTGCTGTAAAAGCGACATTGGTGAGGGGACGCCTGTATTCTATAATAAAGCCAAAAATCTAAATGCTCCACTTTCGTTGTAAGCATAAACGTCTTGATCATCCGAACCTTCATTTTCATGGCTGCAACACAGCTATACCGCAGAAGACTTGATTCTTATTTTTTTTTCCAGACCACATATCCAGAATAGATTCTGTAAAGTTTGTCTTGGTACATTTTCACTTGAAGCTGATTTATGAGGCTTCTTTTGTTGCTATAAGCTGTCGGGAAAGTATATTCTCTTATCTGATGTGAAGTGGTGCTCTGAGTTCTTGTCTTATTCCTCAATAAGGAACAAAAAATGGGCTAAGGGTAGGGTGGGGTGGGGAGGACAAATTTTCCACCGGTGGATAAGTTCGATTTCAAATTTCCAGAATAACTTTGCTTATGGTAAAGCTCTTCAATTGAATAACACGCAATGTTTATCCTCCAGTTAGATTGTAAAACGTCAGTACTACTTTTGAAGGGTCATTGTGAGCTATGCGTACATTGAATGACCCATATTCTGATCATTTTTTCATTTGATGAAAGGAGAACAAAGTACCTACTGTTTTTTAAAAAAAAAAAAAATTGCAGGATTATACATTAATTAGGAATGTCATAATCTTGTAATTACAGAACACCTGCTGGCTGCCAACTGTCCAAGTAGAAGAGTGAAAATCATTTTATCATTACAAAACGTGGTATGCAGTTTGACCACTGTTACACAGTTGCAATATTATGTACATTCTGGAGCGGTATTGTTACACAGCCTGGTATCAAAACTTTAGATTTCAGATGACTCGCTCATTTACAAATGACAATATCCAAAATTATGTGACAACGCTGCTGCAATATCTACAAAAAGAATAGCAACTCAAGAAGTCAATTACCATGGTATCAGATCCTGTTCTTACAGGAGAATTGGCTTCCTTACCTTCAGCTACACTTCAGCCTTCAACTTGTGCCTCTGTGATTTCCTTGAGAAAGTATAATGCTATCAACAGAACAATTGTTGTGTTCATCCCCAAACTACCAATAATCATTGCAAGAACAGTGCCCATCTCTAAAATGGTGCAAGCACTTCGAGTCACACAGATATATTTCACGCCTATAGGTATTTGAAATAAATTTGGCAGTCTCATGGCAGCCTTTGCACATTCTCATGTTCTTCACAACTCGCATACATATGGATGCACTTGAAGATTTAGAGAGGGCAAAAGCAAATGCAAGTTTTTCACTATGAACCCCACTTAATGCTTCACTCTCCTCTTCCTCAACCGGAAGCCCATTTGACAAATCGGACCTCTTGCTCTTTGGAGCCATGCGCTTTATCCAAGAGTGCATCACCCAATTAATCTGCTGACATTGAGAGCCACCAACAAAGGACTGCACTGTGTTTTCGTCTTCAATCCAGCTCCAACCAAGACATTCCTTAGCATCTTTCATTTTTCTAGGCTCTTTTGCTTTAAAAGAATCCTCAGGAATCCCAGATAATGCATACAATTGTAAGACCAACTGATAGATCAAAGCATTTTCTGGTTCGAGTTCCAGTAACCGTTCCCCGGCATAGACAGCCAATTCAATATTTCCATGAACACGACTAGCAGTTAGTAAGGCAGCCCAGATAGAAGAATTGGGCTCAATTGTCATGTTGTTAATGAAATCAACTGCATCTTCCAGCATACCAGAGCGTCCAAATAAATTTACCATTGCTGCACAATGGTCTAAACATGGTGATATATGATGCTCTTCTATCATTCTAGAGAAAATACGGTTTCCCTCACCAACCATTCTAGCTAAACCATATGCCGAAATCATACTCACAAAAGTACCTCTATTTGGTTTAAGTTCAGTATGACTCATGTCGTTAAACAGCTCAATTGCATCAACTGCGCGACCATGTATAACGTAACCAGCAATCAGTGTGTTCCAGGTGATTATATCTTTTGCCAACAAACTGTTGAATATGGTTCTGGAATACTTTATATTACCTGACTTGGCAAAAGTATCGATAAGAGAATTTGCAACTGACAATTCACAATCCAAATTTCTGCGCAACACACAACAGTGCAATTCCTTCACCTTTTTTGCTGCAATCAAATTGGAACAAGCAGGTAAAATGCTCAAAATGGTAAATGAATTTGGTTTTACACATAAAGATTGCATTTGTCGGAAAATCCCCAATGCTTTATCTTTGTTTCCGGTTAACAAGTAGCCTGCTATAAGAGCATTCCAAGATGCTGTGTCCTGCTTGATATGTCCATCCTTCTCCATTCTTTGGAAAAGATCCATGGCCTGATCGTCATCTCCATTTTGCATGTAACCGGAAATCAACGTGTTCCATGTGATTACAGTTGGCTCCACATCTGACTCCCGCATTTTCCTAAAAAGGTCGTGGGCTTTCCCACAATATCCAGCTTGGCAATATCCTCCGATCATTGAGTTCCAAGTGTACATATCTCTTGCTGACATCATGTCAAAGACTTGCCTAGCAGCCTCAACTTTAGCACATTTAGAGTACATATCAACTAGTGAATTTCCCACCAATAGATTTTCACCAAATCCAGCCTTCAACGCCCATGCATGCAATTCTCTCCCCTTCTTTAAATCTTTTAGAGAGGCGTACATAGAGAGCAAACTGATAAGTGTGACCTCATTTGGCTGAACCCCGGCCAAAAGCATTTTCTCAAAACATTCCAAAGCCTCAGTCTTTCGATTAAACTGAGCAAACCCAGAAATCAGACAAGTCCAAGTAAAAACATCTGGCAGTATCCCGCAACTTTGCATCTCTACCATCATTTCCATCACCACATCATATTTCCCCAACTGGCTATAGCTTGATATGAGTATATTCCAAGTCACCAAACTTGGCTCAAACCCTTCTTCACGCATTAACTCGAAGAATCTCCGAGCCTTCTCAAGCTCACCCTTTTGGCAGTACCCTGTTATGATTGAATTCCAAGAGACTGTATCCTTCAGCACCATACTACAAAAAACCTTTTCGCCAAATCTGAAAACCCGCACTTTGCATAGACGGCCAAAATTGCATTATTCACGCGTAATTGAAAATTCATCCCACATTTTATCACAATGCCATGAATCAACCTCCCTGTTTCAACATCCCCACTATTCCCACATGCCTGTAAAATCTTTGGAAACAAAAATTCATCTGGAACAATACCATCTTCCATCATCATCAAGTAAAACAGCACAACCACCTCATCCCATTTTCTCTCCCTCGTACACGCACCAATCATTGCCGACCACGCGTACAAATTCCTCTCAGACATTTCATCGAACATCTTGTATGCATCCTCAAGAGATCCACATTTCGCATACATGCCTACAATCTTGGTTTCAGTAAAAGGATCCAAGTCTTTTAGTAGATGTTTCATACGGGTATGAAGTTTACGGCCCAAATGAATTGACTGAGAATCAACGCAAGACTGAATTAGGTACGAGAAGGTTTTGGCACTTACCATGGACCCACATTGCGCTATAGAGTCCAGAGATGCTATGGCTTCAGTTAGGCGTCCATTTCTGCAGAGGTAGTCAAGTGGCATCCATAATAGTAAGGTGGGCGTTTCTGGGGATATTTTTGAAAGGGAGCCTGGATTTTACAGGATTTTGTGAAAATTTCAGGAAATTTGGGGGTTACAGTTTTGCATGGAAGGATTGTACCCTCCATTGGAGAGTGATTTCTTGGTAAAGTCTGCTGCTTTGCAAGATGATTCAAAGCTGCAGAAGCTGGACAGCCACACAAAATGGAGAAGATTGTCTACAGGTCGCGCAACGGGAGCTGCTTTGTCCAATAACAGAACGACACGCGCCGACAATTGGGATCGATGGCCTGTACTGTTGGGCTGACTGTCCAACGTTTCTGGAGAAAACCAGTAGAACTACGAACAGGTCAATGGAGTCCCGAACCTTTTGGGCCCAAAAGCGGCCCGTTTAAATTAAATTCCTTCGGGCTTAACCATTTTTGCGTGGTCCAGCATTTTATTAATAGCAATCTCCGTAAATTATCGCATTGGCTCAACGGAGCCAGGGTTATTCATTTGGGATTGAACTAAACTTTGTTCCAATTTTTTTTTTAAATGAGTGAAATGTCTCGAACTCGAACCTCTCACTGACACACTTTATAGCGCACTCTATATATCTCCGTATCATCCAACCCAATATTCCATTTTTAAGTTATTGCGTGATTACCAATTCACCACCACTTAGTTGCTTCCTCTTGTTAGAAGAACTAAATCATACAGTCGACAGATTACAAATTAAGTCAGAATTTTGTCAAAACAGTGGAAAACGTTGAAACATAACATTGGTAGTCCCTTGTGCACTACACAAAGATGTTAAAATGGTTGGCAAACTGAACGTCACCTGGAGCTTCACATACATTTTTTGAACAAAGAAGATAACAGAAAATTATTTAGATTATTACGTTGAAACCAGATTTTGTAACCATCAACAATCAATCACATTTATAAGTGTGTTTGGATAGCAAATTTTTTTCAAATAATATTTCGCTTGCATCATAAACACATTTTCTAATCCAACTTTTCTTATTTTTTTTTTCTGAAGTCACCTTTTGATATTTTCAATCATGTTTTTATCTCACATACATCCTATCATAAAAGGTATTATAATAATTATTTTAAATAATATTTCAAATAATATTCTATTCAAACACATTAACCGTCCTATTTGCTGTTGAATTCAGAGTTTGAATTCAGAATCAATAACATTACTTGAATTGTTAGGTTGAACCAAGATCTTTAGGCTCAAAGCGTCTGTCACTAGTGAATCCGGCACCATCGATGAAGGAAAATTGCGGCCAGTTTCGTTGTGCAGGAATACGTATTGAGGCAATCGAGAGAATAAAGTAGGCATTAGAACTTGTGAATAAACTGACGTAGACGAAACGAAATGGCGAGAGGGACAAACGGCGGATGTACGGTGCCTACTTGCTTAGAAGTTAGGGGCTTGGAATTGGTTGCCGCTCCCCGCAACCATTAAGATAAGTAATGCATGCATGCGTAGTAAAATGAAATTAAACTTCTTTTACAGTCAAGACTTTTTTTTTTTTTAAATCATCAAATCATTATAAGCTGTATCTGGCATTTTAATTACTTAATTTCTTCTATTCCCATTATAAAATTCTTGCACAGCAAAACATTTGAAAAAAAAAAAAAAAAAAAGAGCTCACAACGTCATTCATTACGAATATGCACGTCTGAAGCTCGTAACTCGCATGTGTTCGGAGATCACAATAATGTCTATCCATCTACTCTTTGTTAGCTTCAAATATATATATATATATATATATATATATATATATATATATACGTACATATGTATATGTATATGTATAAGTATAAGGTACCCTGCAGATCCAAAAAACGCCTGGGGTCGGTGGGAGTGCCGGGAGCACGTGCCAGTGAAGGAGAAAAACATTTCTTGAAACACCCAATTTAGATTTTTCTTTTTTTTTTTTTTTTCTCAAACAAAAATGGTGAATAAGCTACTGACATATTCAGACACGGCTCCATGGGACCATGTCTAATGGAGTATCTGATTATGACCAATCTCTGTTTAGTTTCTCCAAATGGCAAAGGGAAGCGTGTAAAGTCAAATCCAGACTTAATTATAGAGAGGACGAGATTCAGATGAACGATTAATACTGGTGTGTTTGGATAGTCAAATAATGATTAAAAATTACTTGTTTACATCACAAATATAATTTTTAATAAAATTTTTTATTTTTTTATCTTACATACATCACATCACAAAAAGTATTACGGTAATTATTTCAATTAATATTCCAAATAATCTCCTATCCAAACACGCTTGAGCAGGCAACCATGGAACGGAAGTTTACCTAGAAAGAGGTAACGAGGTTTATTAATTGATCGTCAAGTTGATTCAAAAACAACAAGATCGAGATCCAATTTTTGCTCTAAAACAGCAGTCCAATGTCCGGTGATTCACACTAATCGAGCATAGGCCCGTTGTCTTAGGATTAGGCCTATTAATTATGTTCCTGAAAACTATCTTCCTTCGCCCAAAAAAAAAGCCCAAAAATCTCAAACCTTTTTCTTTTAGCACAAAAATCTAAAAGGTAGCAAAATTCTTTTTCTAATTTCTCTTGCTAGTTTGTGTGCATGGTATCCTAATCCTAGTTTACTTTCTTGTTGCTCTATATAGCCTTCTTTTTTTTTTTTCCCCTTTAAGTGAGCAGTGTTAAATTTAGAATCTTTCACTTACAATCATTTTCACTTTACCACCCAATCTAATCCTCGCAAAAGAAAAAGAGTGAGCAAAAGGAAGATCTTACTTAGTAAGTGAGTGATATTATTGATCTATATTATTAGAGGTTCAAGCATTACTCTATTATACATATAGTTATTAGTTAAATGAGCAAAAAATGTTCCACTTCTACATTAGGTATTCTTAAATGCCTGTAAGTTACAAGTGACCATCTTATCAATTAAATAAAAATTTCTAGTTGAAACACTAAATATACAACAATTGCAAATTTTGTCAAAGAAGTAGTTTGTTTCTTTTGTCTGCCTTAATATGCAGTATGGCCTTACTTAAACAAGTAATAATCCAAGTTTTTATCAACAATGCCCAAAGAATGCTTCCAACCAAGATCGCATTTTAAGAATGTGATCATTCATGTAATAAAAAATCAGGGTTGTAGACAAGTACAGTAGATTACTGCTTTTGAAAGCATGAGGACGGCAACTTTCCACCTTGCATTGTAAATGCTGCTTTTCGTGATATGAATGTACAGAAAGTTTCTTTTTCCTTCAAAAAAAAAAAGAAAGCTTGAGGAGTGGCCCTCAAATTTTGGTTTTTTTTTTTTTTTTTAAGCTTTCAGTCCACAACATAAATGTCCCACAAGGATAAAAGTTAGCGCGGAGTTCAAAGCAATAACACCATGGTGAATCATAAGGACGGGATTTCTGACTTTCTTCCAATTCAAATCCTCCTCTTCTCATTCTTTACTAGGATTCAAACACTTGAATTGATAATATTTTAAGCTCAAGATTCATAATCCCCAATTAAATATTTGATTTCCAGCCCGTGTTTCTGTTTATGACGAAACAACCCCTGGCATTTAAGCAAGTTTTACTGCATCATTATCTATGCATACTGCTAATTCAAACCACAATCTTTTTTTTTTTTTTTCAGCCACTGATCTAAACTCAAAATGATTGTTGAATTGCTGACGTACTAGTAATTCGTACTGTAATTATGAATAAGGAAAAAATGAGGATGAAGAATTCAAGTTATATACTCCTACAGGAGTAAAAGAAGTGGTACTCGCTGTTAATAGTTGGACACTCTGGCTTCTGAAGAGTGGCATTGATATTTGATACGGGTAGATCACAAGTGTTCTCCTGGACTTCCACAGTTTCTTCTTCCACCCTCTCTCTCTTTCAAACTTCCCTCCTTATATGTATGAGTTTTAGAAGACAAACAAGCAACAAGGATAGACTTCTTGAGAGCAAAGTTACAATGGAAACCGACTCAGTTTCCAAATTGGTCATTTTCTTCTTCAGCATTGCGTTGTTAATGGGCGCTCAGCTAATCCAGTGCAGTGTCACTTATGATAAGAGGGCAATTATCATCAATGGGCATAGGAGAATTCTTCTCTCTGGCTCGATACATTATCCAAGAAGTACCCCTGATGTACTTTCCATACTATTCTTGATTTTTTATTTGTGGATGCTGTGTTAAAGTTTGTCGCTTTCTTGTGATTTTAAATGGACAATGTTAATCTTTGTGAAGTATGATGATATGGGTTGTTTGCAGATGTGGGAAGATCTTGTAATCAAGGCTAAAAATGCTGGCTTGGATGTTATTGACACCTATGTTTTCTGGAATATCCATGAGCCTACCCAGGGAAATGTGAGTCTCCTAGATCTCCTTTTGCACTTCTATTCTTTTGCATTTTTGGACAAGAGTCGAGGACCTTTCTAATGCTTTAACAATTTTTTGCCTTTGAATCTTATTTAGTATAATTTTGAGGGAAGATATGATCTTGTACGCTTTCTAAAGACGGTGCAAAAAGTTGGACTCTATGTTCATTTACGCATTGGACCTTATGTTTGTGCAGAGTGGAACTTTGGGTAATTGATGAGCCCTTTATCTTTCCATTCTATCCTTTTTTTCGAAAACCTTGATTTTGTTGATGCTTCTTGCTTCATTATAATTAACTATTTTTTTTCATGTTAAAGCTTCATTTTAGTGTTTTTTGTCCAATATTTTCTTCTTGAAACTAATTGAACTTCATGAGCTCCTGACTTTTCTGATGCTCTTAATTCAGAGGATTTCCTGTTTGGTTGAAATATGTTCCTGGAATCAGCTTCAGAACAGATAATGAGCCCTTCAAGGTTTTATCAGCTAAACCATTCTTTATTTTTTATCTCCACTCTATAAAGCTTCATGACAATTTGATGTTTACTAATTTTTTAATTCCACGTAACTGAGAAATTTTATAATATATCGGTGTTTTTCTGCACTTAAATGGGAAGGTGATTCTAATTAGAACCTGTGAATGGAAAATGACAGGAAAGTTATCAACTACTAAATTATGGGTACTCATTGACACTCACTTTGTTTTTCTTGGGTAAAGGTGGCAATGCAGAAGTTCAGCCAGAATATTGTTGGGATGATGAAGAGTGAGGGCCTGTTTGAATCTCAGGGCGGTCCCATAATCCTATCTCAGGTAAATATCATGTAGGTCATGTGACATGATGTCCGAATGTTCTATTCATGTGTGGAGTCTGTACTTGGCAAATGCAAAAGCTGGAGAAGAAAATGGTCAGATATCATTTACAGCATTCAGGCTCATAGCATTGCTTTTCTACTTTGACTCTCATTTGTATAGATTGAGAACGAGTATGGAACAACAGAAAAAAGACTTGGAGCAGCTGGTTCGGCATACTTAAAGTGGGCTGCAGGAATGGCGATTGGATTAGATACTGGGGTTCCATGGGTCATGTGCAAACAAGATGATGCGCCTGATCCAATTGTAAGTACTGCTTCAAGTGCACAGATGCTATAGGCCACCGTTTCTTCCTTTTTAACTCACTTTTATCCATGCACAGATAAATGCATGCAATGGTTTTTATTGCGACACATTTTTGCCCAATAAACCATATAAGCCCACAATGTGGACTGAGGCTTGGAGTGGCTGGTAATTGTTACTTAAGGAATCAGATCCATTGTAATTTGTTCATGATAAAAAGTATGTCCTGTTGTTCAGTTCATTGATTTATGGTTTCTTCTTTTTTCTCTAATTGAGAAAGGTTCACGCAATTTGGTGGGACAATAAGTCACCGCCCAGTCCAGGATCTGGCATTTGCAGTTGTTCGTTTCATACAAAGGGGTGGCTCATTTGTTAACTATTACATGGTAAGCGATTTTATCATGGATAAACTTGAATATATTTCGAATCTTACAAAGTTTACAGCTTGACTAATAAGCTTATGTAGCGTTTTAAGGTTCTTCTATCAATCCAAATTAAGTCATTCACCCTTTTTGTGACAGTTCCACGGAGGGACAAACTATGGGCGCACTGCTGCTGGTCTTTTCGTTACAACCAGTTATGACTATGATGCTCCAATTGATGAATATGGTAAGTGGCAAATCTAATGCAATATTGTTATATAAGAAATTCAAACTTATGCAGGATGCATATTTTTAACAAGAAATACTTGACCCACCAAAAATGTCAAGGACGATGAATGATTAGCAGTAATTTTGTATCTTTTTTTCGTATCTCTATTACTTTTGAAGATATTATCTATGGTATTTGTCTTTTTAGTTGAACCTTTAAGCAACTCTTCAGGTCTGCTAAGGCAACCCAAGTATGGCCACTTGAAGGAGCTTCATACGGCTATTAAAATGTGTGAACCAGCTCTGGTTTCTTCAGATCCTGCTATTACTACTTTGGGAAGCTCTCAAGAGGTCATCCCTTAAATGTACCTTTTATTTCTCATTTAAATAGTAATATGCAAAATATGTTAACTTAGATCTTATTATTGTTTTTCTCTAACTTGTTCTTTCAGGCCCATGTATACTCTTCTGCCAAGGGAGGCTGTGCTGCCTTTCTCTCAAACTATGACAGCAATTCTGCTGTGAGGGTGACATTCAACAATATGCACTACAATCTTCCTCCTTGGTCCATCAGCATCCTTCCTGACTGCAAAAACGTTATCTTTAACACTGCAAAAGTGAGTGGAGTTTACTTTAAAATCAGCCTAAAGCAATCATCAAATTAACATATGTACCAAAATGTGTTTGGTTTAAAGTTCTGTCCATCTAAACCCACCAGAGAAGACATAATCAAACTAATTACTTTCTGACTCCCCTTTTTGAGCTGGCTGAATGGTGCTTTAGTTTTACTAAAATAGATCAATTTATGGCCATGAAGGTTGCAACTCAAACTTCACATATACAAATGTCACCAACGAACACTCAACCACACTCCTGGGAGACCTATGGTGAAGACATATCTTCTCTGGAAGACGGTTCAACTTTGACAGCTGTTGGACTTCTGGAGCAGCTGAATATCACAAGAGATAACACTGATTATTTGTGGTACATGACCAGGTAAATATAATCTTGATCACCTTTAAAACTACCTCCCCAAACTTTAATTCTCCATCTCATATGCTGCTTCGTGATTTCAACTATTAAGCAAAACTTCGGGAAGTACTCCTTGTATGGAATTACAATTTCATTGATATGAAAAGAGGATGGTAAAAACATGATAGTTGCTAATGCATGTTCATCATTAAGTACAAGTGTAGTCTTTCAAGACATTTTTGAGGTTTTCAAGTCATTATGAATGGTAATCTTTTGGATCCCCATCTCCAATGGGTCCAACTTAATAATACTTTTCTTCTTGCAATCCAGCATTGACATCAGTCCATCAGAGTCATTTTTTCGGGGACGACAAAACCCAACTCTCTTTGTGCAGTCAAGAGGTCATGCAGTACATGTCTTTATAAATGGGAAGCTATCAGGTAATATGTCCAGGTTACTCTTAACCAGGACTCATGTTCTTTAACAGTAGATCTTAGCTGAAACCTTCTGCACTTCACTCCATTATACAGGATCAGCTTACGGTACACATCAGAGTATTAGTGTTAGATTCAATGGACCTGTAAACCTTCTAGCTGGAACGAATAGGATTGCCCTGCTGAGTATAGCTGTCGGACTACCAGTAAGTAGTTTCTCAATCAGTTTGCTTCATATTGTAACTTGGTCTAAGACTTATCAAGAAGTCATGATTGACTAATTGAGCTCCATGGTCCTGGTGTTCTTCAAAACCAAAGGAAAGTCAATAGAACTCAACTTCTCTGCTTTCATAAACAAGTAGACTTATCTATGATAAATAATGATGGCATTGTTGCATTACTTTGAAGAACAACGGCATACATTTTGAGAATTGGAACATAGGAATTCTGGGGCCAGTGGTGCTGCATGGTCTTGACCAAGGTCACAAAGAATTATCGTGGCAAAAATGGACCTACAAGGTAATTGCGACAGAGTAGGTCGTTTTTGTATATTCTTGTCAATGTGTCCTAAAATCCCTTTATCTTACATAGGTTGGCTTGAAAGGAGAGTTAATGAATTTAGTCTCTCCAAATGGGGTCTCCTCTGTTGAATGGATACCTGGGTCATTGGTGGTCAATGGTCAGCAGCCTCTAAAATGGTACAAGGTAAAATATTAATAAATCACAGACTATGAAATGTTCAATAGGTGCTGACTGGAGGAACTTGAAGCTCATCTGACACTTGCAGGCTTACTTTGATGCTCCAATGGGGAATGAGCCCTTGGCCTTGGACATGAAAAGCATGGGTAAGGGTCAAGTATGGATCAATGGGCAAAGTATTGGAAGATATTGGATAACTAATGCAAATGGTAACTGTGGCACTTGCCAATATTCTGGAACATTCCGAGTTTCAAAATGTCAACTGGGCTGCGGTCAACCAACACAGCATTGGTAATATTCTGTCATTCCTATCCTTTTATCTTTAGGTACTCCTTGAAAATAAGGTTAGTTTAACTTCAGAATAGGATGTAGTAAATGTTTCTCTTCACCTTTGAACTTGTCTATCAGGTACCATGTGCCCAGGTCCTGGGTGAAGCCATCCAGAATTTGCTGGTGCTTTTTGAAGAAATAGGTGGAGATGCATCAAAAATATCTCTAGTGAAGAGAGCAACTACAAGTGTTTGTGCTAGTGCGCAAGAGCACCGCCCCACCATAGTAAATTGGCATATTGACAGCAATGGAGAGAGTGAATGCTTCGCCAGGCAAAATTCACCTGGAGTGTGCAGCAGGACAGACTATTTCAGGCATCAAAGTTTGCAAGTTTCGGACTCCTTCAGAACATGTGGTGCCTATCAGCTAGGAACTTGCCATGCAAAAAATTCGCATGCAGTTATAGAAAAGGCACTCATACAAGACTCCTCTTTTCACTATATGTTTAACATATTCTCACATACTTCAAACCAAATTTGCCAGTGAGATATTTATACTGATGTAGTTGCAATCTTGCAGATGTGCCTTGGGCAAGAAATTGCAGGGCCACGGTCTCTGACAATTTCTTTGGGTCTGATCCGTGCCCAAATCAGTTGAAGAGATTATCTGTTGAAGCAATTTGTTCAACCTCAGTTTCCAAATTTTCAGATTCCATTATGGGGTGAGTGGTGGTAGAATGTAAAGAATATGGATAGCAGTATAATGAAGATTATTCACGTAGAACAGGAACGAAGGGAGGAAAGAAGCAGTGCTGCTGAAGGTGGATAAGGAAGAGTTTTGACTTTCCGGATTGACAAATTGATGACAGTCTTGAACCATGGCCTTCAGTTGCTCCGAAGTTCACTGTATCCCAATTGTCCATAGTTTTGGAGAGTTCATTAATTTTGGAGGGTAGGCAGGAACGAGCGATAACTTGTTCAAATAAGCCATCAGTTCCAAGTGTAACTATTCTCCAGCAGTTTTGAGCCTAGTTGATAGTCGTTTAAGATCTCCTTCCTCAAATTTAAGTCATCTGAAGATTTTCAGTGTTACAACAATATTCCTAGCCTCAAGAAAATGAAGTAATCCAGAAAATGTCGTATACTGATTTTAGTAGCTGATCTGTCCAATTCATCGGGAAACGGTTAAGAGACCCTTTGTGCCGATAGTTGGCACTTTTTTGTTGTGCAAGGCTGTTATGACTTTAATTCTCTTATTATCTTAGCCAACTTTTTTGTGTGCAAGGCTGTTATGAGCTTTAATTCTCTTTATTATCTTATGGCCAAGACCAAGGATGATCCCCTTTCCCTCTTCATTTGAGGCGTTTGGTTTGATTGTAATTGAGGCCTTCAAAGGTGAGCTCCATTCATCGTCTGCCCACGGCCATTCCCAGCCAACTATTTACATTTTGTAGCTCGGGGGTTCCAGAATCCAGAGTGAAGGGTGCAAATTACTTGGTAGGGCAATTTTTCTCTAGACTATGTCGGAGAACTATGCATAAGAGTTACCAGTTAGAACACAATGACCTCTCGAGGAAGTTCGCATCAGAGGGACAAAAGCTGATGAGAATAAGGATTAAGGAGAGTAGTTAACTAGATAAACGAGGAATTTGATTATTTATAGAAAAGTAAAATCTAGCAGACACTGGATGAAAACCATGGAAAAGTAAACACACAATCACATCCACTACATCTAGAAATTTATAACATCCTTGCTACGACAATCACTGACGGATAAAGTTCCTTATTAAAAAGTTTGTTTCCATGGTGAATCAAACTGAAACAGAAGCAGTAGTAGCAGTAGCAGCAGCAGCAGGAGTAGCAGTATCAGCAGCAGTAGCATGCTTGGTAATAACTTGCAGAAGTTCATCTTTCTTTGCACCGACAAATTTCTCCACAATGTTTCCATCCTGAAGAAGATGAAAGTCGCATTGCCTCCACTTCATATTTCTCAGCAACAGTCTGCACATGCAATTAAAAATTCAGCCAAGAAATCCACTAAAGAAAAAGAGAAAAATCGTAATCCACTCAGTATGCTAAGCTGTTTATATTTAAAAAAATATTAGTACGATAACACGCAATTAGAAAGAGAAATCCACCTTCAGTTCATCCACATCTACTTTGAGAAAGATGACATGGGGAAGCTTCTTGGCAAACTCTGCTAGAATTGGAGCAATGAAACGGCAAGGTCCACACCATGAAGCTGTAAAATCCACCACAACCTATAAAAAGGATCAAGTCATGGTACATATTAGAACCTTGAAGTAGTGCCAGAAGATTAATGCATAAAAGAGATGCAGTAATCGGTAAAACACATGGAAGACACTCAATATAGCTGATACAACGTAGACTTTTACCAAAGCAAAGCATCAACCAAAAACAGGCATCTATAACAACGGCAAACTGCAGTGTCCTGCTAGCTCGAGAAGAATACAGGTTTAAACTTTTCATGCACACAAAACATGTAGAATTTAGAAGAGTAGTCAAGAACCTCAAGTTAACACAATTGCTTCAGGTTAAAATCATTAAAAGCATCCATAAGAACCAGTCTCATTCCTCCCTCGGGCATGAAAAATTATACTCCATAGGTATGACCGATCCCACCTCTGTTAATTTGCTGTTGTCGTATGAGAAAGTATTCTATCTCCCGGGAACAGACGCATTTTTACTAGATATGAAGGTCAGTAAGTGGAGAACCAAATCAGAGCAGACAAGAAACACAAGACAAAGGAAAAGACACGTACTACTAAGCTAAGTTAACAGTAATATTTTGGTTAAATCACTTAGCTTTCAAAATTCATTTCATGCTAACAAACAAACCTGGTCTGAAGCATCATAAGCCAGGATTTCGCAAATGATTGGATTTAAGCCAGGATTTTGCAAATCATTAAACTTAAACCACAACTACAGAAGGAAACAACGCAGAGACATCTCTGCATATAGCATACTATGAGCAAGTAACTCGACCCAAAGCCAAAAACTACTACATCAACTCCACCAACCCACACCACCCCTCCCGCAAAGAAAAAAGAAAAAATCTTTGGGGCAAGCTCACATCTTTACACAACAAAATATGCACCTAGCAAAACTTACCATCTTCAAAAATAAAAAACCAAACGAAGAAAAACAACAATCGAGAGAAAGAATCAACAACCAAAATTTAAGGAATTAACACCAAAAGAACAAAAAAAAAAAGACGATTAGTACAGAATAGAATAACAAACGCTTAATCAGTAATTTTCCAAAATTCCTATTACAGGTATGCATCCAACCAGAGTAAACCTAATACTATAAAAGCACGAAAATTTTGAGGTACGATTACTGAAGTTCGAGAATCCCATCTCTTAAATTCGACCACAGCATCCAAACTATTAAGGGCGACAATTTCCCAAAAAAAAAAGGCATATAATCAAGAAGCCCCTAAGCTTATAGTAATATAGCATACCAGCTTCTTGGATTCAACGCCCTTGGTGAAATGCTCATTCCATTGATCAACGCTGTGGCAACCGATCACTTGTCCCTCTTCTGCTGCCATTGTTTACTCCACTCTTGGAATCACAGAAAACCCACAAAAAGATTTCTACTTGGTCTGTTTTGTCTCTTGCTTTCTTGGAACGCTAATGCTTTTTTCCCAACGCCAAACCGGCCTTCTTATAGAGGGGGAAAACGGGGACGGTTATTCATTTATTATTGTAATATTATCGTGCGAGGAAATATTGCGGAAAATCCTATTAAGTATTGCTGTATTTACTACAAGAGTATGCTAGAAGGAAAAGAAAATGACAATACTTAGTATTGTGTATTGGTGGTAATACACTTATTATGCTGACCTAATTGCTTACTACAATTTGCAAAATAGTACCTTATGACATGTGGTAGGATGTCATCTAATTTTCTTACAACCGACTTAACGTCACATGTAAAGGCAAAAAGGGTCTTCGTATCTCTACATAGAATGAATGATGAGTAGGCTGCTTGTTTGTGGATTATACCTCGGATAGGACTTTTCTACAGGCATGCATCAGCATCAGCATCAGCATCAGCAGCGGGATTAAATGTATGTTATATGTAAAAAAAAATTGAGAGTCTAAATTTTGATTTTGTAGATATTTTATGCATTCAAATTTGTGTGTATACATATTAACTGTGTTTAAATAGAAGACTATATGATATAATTACTGTAACGGTTCTATTTCCTTTTTTTCTGTGATATTATTTCTATAAAATAAAAAAATTAAAAAATATATTTACAATACAAGTAAAGTAATATTTTAAATAATTATAATATCCAGACACACCCCTAATTTATCTATTAGTATAGCAAAGATTTTACACATAACCAATTTATTAATTGCTTGTTTGAAAAGCAATGACTAAGGGATGTTCTCATTGTAAGAAAATATGATGACATAATGACGTTTGGTCACATTACAACAAAGAAATGAATTTAAATTTTAAATGTAAATTTCTCTTATGTGACATTTATTTAATTATAATAATGTATAATACACGATCAATAACGATCATCATGCTTAACCAAATTCGATAGGGAGCGTAAACTTGATTAAATCAGAACAATAGTTTAAAGAAGTGACGAGAAAATTCTAGAATCCGAAACTAGGAGGGAAGCAAGTGTAATTATACACTCATTCTTTTTCTTCCCTAAAAAGAAAACAAAAAAGTGAAAAAAGGACGAAAGAAAAAGGCAGACACGTGCATCGTCTTGGTTGGTTTGAGTGGAGTGTGTGGTTTGGAGAGCAGCAAGTGTGAAACATGCGCAGTATCCGGAAATTATCCACATGGAAATTGTCTGGACTGACTCTGGAATCAAGAAAAGCCATTCATTTTTTTTCGCACGGTCGGCAATGGATGACCTTCCCCATTGCATACTCATGATGGCTCATACGTTGCGTACCCAATGATATTGCAAACCCCCGCTGGCCGATGGCTCAGCGGTTATCAGGAGGAACTTATGTCCCTCTTTGGATTGTAAGTAAGGGTTTAAATTTCATTTACAGCGAAAAAAATTTAAAAATAATGTCATAATACTTTTTTGATCTAGTTGGGTTCGTATACCCACTAACTCTCTATTATAGTCTTCTTAAACTCCCCCTCCCCCCTAGATTATGATAGAATAAGTTATATAAATGTATCGTTGCTGACAAAAAAAAATGATATCGCAAACCGATATATGAACATCCAAGAAGCAAATACTTTTTTTTTTTTTGTCATTTGTCGCTATTTTTATCTATATCAAACTCTATCCTAATCTATCTAAGGAAGGCTCAACTGAACCTATGGGTGACAGGTAGAGACTGAATCACCACCGGACCAAACGGGTGTATTACGCACCCGTCTGAATTTTTTAGAAGGGCCACTACGAAAATGTTGGATTATTTTCTTGTAATGCACCGGTTTTGTTCCCAAATTTTACACTTAATCACAAGGCAATGAAGCTGATGATAACAATATTGATTTTCTTTTTTTTTTTTTACAAGAATATTGATTTTAATTACCATGTTTACATTTTTCAAATCCTCAATTTTTTTTTTTTTGGTTTAAAGGAAACTCTGAAAACTTATTGAGAGGAAGGGAAAATAAGAGGGCTAGGAAAAAAATTGAATGACCTCATCAACTGTTTCATTAATATCGTCATTGCCAGTTAAATCAGCGACAGTTTGTCATCTTTGTGGGACACGGACAACTTGTCATCTTCGTCACGACTCACGGGTCTTTGTCACAGGGCCGCGGATAGGGCATGGAAGCCCAGGACTTGGAACAGCCCATTGATGTGAAAGTAGTGGGCTAACTACTGCCACCATATTCGGTTACGGTGAGCCGTCCAACTAAACTAAGTGCCGGAAAAGTATCGGACAGAACTCCTGTCCAAGCCCAGGCTGCTGCAAGCCCGTTAGTCCAAATGGTTAAAGAAGCCTGATAACTTCTTGAGAAGGAATAAACTTTTGACAAAAAATAATAATAATAATGAATAAATAAATAAGAGAAGGAATAAACTCTTGGAAACATACGCGTTTGTATAAATGATTGTTTGGAAAAAAAATTACTATTTTGAATAATGTTGCAGTATTTTTGGAATGTGATTGATACATGTGAAGTAAAAAAAAAGTACTGATTTAATTGAGAAGGTAAAAATTGATTGAAAAATATATTTATAATACAAGTAAAATAATATTTACCAAATAAATAAATAATGCAGCGTTCAATCTATCTTATTCACCTCTTTAGTGAGTCATAGTTATATGCGACGTCTGTGGATCCCCATTCCACATCCCTATCTTATTAGTGGAATTTATGCCACTTTGAAGTTTGCAAAACCATAAATTTACGAGTGAAATCTCCACCAAGCAAGTTTTTGCATTTCTTCCCTGCCCCATGAAATGAAGAGCTGCAAATATCTGAACACAAATCTGCTTAGATTTTTTTTTTGACTTGAGAAGGTTGAGGAAAATGACGGAAATGAACTCTCGAGTCAATGGACAGGCCAAACCTTCCAAACCATTCACTTCTGAATCATGTTCTCTTCCCTCGCAAAAAAAAAAAAAAAAAAAACTGAATACTCCAAACATTCATTCTCATTAGTGCAGCGTTTTTTCCAGTTCTCCTCTTATGATAAATTATTAATAATAATAAAAAAGAAAATTTTCAAAATGTCCAATTAAAATTGCACGTGCCCCACAAGGTCCGGATAAATATAATTTCCACGTGTAATCTTCTAAACCACAGCCCAGAAATACCCCACCACAACACAAAATCTCAACTCCCTTGTTCGTATTCTCCCCTCGCATTATTATTAGGGATAATTTCAGAAACCTCCCCTCAGGTTTCTTGTAATATCACACCTGAAGTTTTTAAAATCTCACTTACCTTTATTAGATTGACATTTCTTGTAACATTTTAACTCCTTTGGAGAAAATAGAAGAACAATAAAACTTTGTTTCAATACTACCCTTATATTATCCTACTTATATAATTTATAACAACAACAAAAAATAAAACAAGGTTAAATTTTTATAAGGTGTAAATTTCTTGATATAAACTATTTATTTTAGTTGTATTGGAATAAAAGCAAAATTTATACATTGAAAAATTCACACGTATGACGAGATTATTTTAATTTTCAATATAACTTAAACTACACCATGAATTAAAACATAATTTTCCAAAAAATTTCCTGACTTCCTTAATTGTAACTGTGCATGAAATTTTTAAGGTGTTATTTACTCTCTAAAATCCTCCTAAGTGGTTGATCTTGATTAAATTTAATTTATTCATATCCTTTGCTATTCTACCATGACTTCAATGTAAAGAAATATGGACCATTATTAACTAGCAATTTTTTTAATTTACATTTTTTGCTTTTAAAATCTTATTTTGTTTTGATTTTTTGGTTAAATAGTTATTAAGAGCAATGGTAATGTTGTTAATTTATGACATTTGATAGGAATATTTAGTCTTATCAAGTTGATAATGGAGATAAGTGAGATTTTTAAAAATTTAAAGGGAGCTGAGTGATATTAAAACAAACTTCAAGGTAGGTTTCTGAAATTATCCCTTATTATTTTCCCCACCCCATATCTCAGCTCCCACTCAATACCTCAATTCCACCATCATCACCTTCTGCATTTGATTAGATTAAAGCCACAGTTTTTATGCTCTTCTCATTCCCTTTTTTTCTTTGTTGTCTGAGGCTCTGAACTCTGAGCTCAGTCACTAACTACTCAGTACTGCTACTACTCCTACTATGCCAATCAACAATTTTTCTTCTCCTAATTACTACTCCTACTATTATTCTCGTCGCAATTCTATTTCCATGCCTTCTTCTTTTCTCATTTTCTAACTTTTGTTCCTCTTTTTTACTTCTTTTCTTTTGATAGGAAGAAAAAAAAAGCTTAGCTTGCAACAATATATTTCCAATATGGCTCTGCCTCAAATCTTGCCATCCACTTCTTCTTCAATAATCCCAAGCAAATCCCACTTAAACCCCCTGCTAATTCCCACTTAAACCATCCCCTTAAACCCTTCGTTTCTTCCCCATCAGCACCACCGCCACTTCACCACCGCCAGTGGCGGCGCAGACCCAATCTCCTCCGCTGCTCTGCCTCCTCATTCTCCGAGAAACATCACACCAACTCCCCCAAATCCGACGACGTTGTCGAGCTCCCGCTCTTCCCTCTCCCTCTCGTCCTCTTTCCCGGTGCAATCCTCCCTCTTCAGATCTTCGAGTTCCGCTACAGGATCATGATGCATACCCTCCTTCAGACTGACCTCCGTTTCGGCGTGATTTACGCCGATGCCGCCACCGGCACCGCCGACGTGGGCTGCGTCGGGGAGGTCGTCAAACACGAGCGTCTCGTCGACGACCGGTTTTTCTTGATCTGTAAAGGCCAAGAAAGGTTCCGGGTAACGAAACTGCTTCGGACTAAACCATATTTGGTCGCCGAGGTGACGTGGCTGGAGGACCGCCCGTCGGCCAATGGGGACGAAGACTTGAACTCCTTAGCTAACGAAGTCGAGACTTACATGAAAGATGTGATACGTTTATCCAACAGGCTGAACGGGAAGCCCGAAAAGGAGGTCCAAGATTTGCGGAGGAATCTGTTTCCGACGCCGTTTTCGTTTTTTGTGGGGTCGACGTTTGAAGGGGCTCCCAGGGAGCAGCAGGCGTTGCTGGAGTTGGAGGACACGGCCACGAGATTGAAGAGGGAGAAGGAGACTTTGAGGAATACTTTGAATTATTTAACCGCGGCTTCTGCGGTAAAGGACGTTTTTCCATCATCTTGAAAATGTCGAACTTTATACGATTATTATGAAGAATTATATGTTATGGATTTGTAAATGTTGATAGATGGATGCTGAATTACTATAATGGGCAGCTTTCAAATTTTTTTCTTTAGCTAATCAGATTAATGCAATGCAACATAGTAAATGAATATGAGTCGAAACCGTAAGGTGATAGAATAATACTAATAATAATAATAAGCAGAAAAGAACTTGAGAAACTTTATCCTTTTTTCTTCCCCAGAGTGAAGCTGGGATTTTTTCCCCCTGGTAACAACTATCTTGGATTGTTTGCTTGGTTTGTATCTAATCAACATGTCTTTGGAGTGGTACTGAGTCTGTGTGATATGCGATAGCTAGTGGCGTCTTGTAATCATGAATTTCATGAGGAACTGCTGATTGGCAATTTAATTCTTCTTAATATATTGCATGTTTTGAGTAGTCTAGCAGGGGAGCAAGTGAAGAATACAGGAATAGAGTAACTAGACTTTCAATACATGATGGAAGTGGATGAGATGGTTTGAAGGAATCCTAAAGTTTGTTTCTCTGTGCCTATTGTGGGATCTTTTTCTTATGATAAGCACAAGTAGTGATTGATGGTAGCTTTTGTTGATTGTGATGAGTGAGATGATCGAGGAGATAGGAACATTCCAAGGTGATTTTCTAGTATTATTGCTGTTGTTTATGCCAGTATGTTGTGCTAATTTTGTTTAGAAACATTTTACATGCAATTGGTGCAAGTGACGGTGATATGACAAAGGCAGTTGAGCTTTGTTTTACAATTATATTATGCTCTGGCCTGTGTGATTGAGTATTCGAGAAAAAGTTTGCTGTGACCTTTAAGTGTGGAAAATCTAGTTGCTATAAATCTTGGAACTCCTGACTTTTTGAGACTTTTTCTCAAAGCATACGAAGCATTTGCACTCATTTATTTATTTAGGAATTCTGCAGCAGTCAAGCTTGATGTTCCCTTTTTATTATGCTTCTGATGGTTTCACCTTTTTTTTTTTTTCCCTTTTGGAGGCTTTTTATATATGGCTCTATTGCTTAGAACGGTTGTGCCTCAGATTTTCTGTTCTGTAATCTGTAATAACATTGGTCTTTCAACATGCTGAGTCTTCAAACACTCTTTCAAATCGTCTGAGGTTTCTGTTGGAAATGTGGAGAACATTTGTCACAACAGAGCTTCCACACACAGCGTCGTGGAACTAGCAGATGCCATGGTGGAACTTTTCAGCGCAATAGAGCTCCTTCTGTTGCGCACAATGTCGTGGTGGAACCATCTATCATTTTATTGGAGCTAAGCAGATTTCTTGTGCAATAATTTCAAACTGATACTACTACAGTGTGCTCGTCAAATCATCCTCTGTGAAGGTGTAGGTGGGAATTTTATTTGCAGGTCGTGGTCCTTCATGGTGTTCCCTTGTGTCCCAGTATTGTGTGCGTCTCTTTTTCCAATAAAGATTCAGGAGATAGATCCATGGAACATTATTATTCTTTTGTCCTGGAGATATCACCATTTCTGACTGGTATTTATTCACTTGAAGGTTTTCTGGTGTGCACTTCCCGTATTGTAGCTCTACAATTTAAACTGCTTAAGAGAGATCCCAAAAGTTACGTAGCATGCACATGGTTTAGCAAACTGGGAGATTTGTTGCGCATAAAAGGGGCTATGCCAATCTCCTGACTTAAAGACAGATTGTTCAAAATTGTTTAGCGTGAGGGTTTGTTTATGACGAAGCAACAGCTTCCCGACAGTAGAACAGATTGGAAGATGCAGAAAAGTTGTGGCAGACGTGTTAGCACCATTCATCCCAGGAACACAATTGGTTTAAACTTGGAAGTTACTGGTGAAATCCAGGAAAATTCCTTATCTAGTGGCATAAGCCTATCAAATGCTCCTTTAAAGACCTCATCAATACCTATCACAAGAAGAAAAGATTAAGGAATGATAATTACGTTACAGATCCCAGACATTCTTGTCATTGCCAAAGATACCACACTCGATCTTAACCATATAATATCTGTAAATAAAACGTATTGACAACCAAAGCCAGATGCCATGTGTTGGCAGCGTACGACATCATAGGAGAAGCAGATGCATTTCAAGGCAAAGATTATACACAGATGAAGCTCCCAACAAACTAAACTCAAATCTCTCGGATGAAATCCATTCTTTTTACAGTACCAGAGCGAAATCAGGAGCTTCTTATATGAGGAGCAACAAATGACGAGCACCAATTCTACTCAAGATTCAGTGGTAAATACAGCTATACTTCAGTATGTAAAACATTATGTAACTTCAAAGTAATCAGTACACATTTATGAAAAGCTCATATCTGGTACTGATACATGCTACAAGAAGGCACTATTAGACTACTTCTAGTTCGCAAAGAGGGAACTCCAATCACCAAATTTTCCGGAACGGCCTCCATTCTTAAGCTGTTTAACAACGTGGAATTCCCCATTCTCTGCAATCACATTTACACCTCTGTCAGATGAATCAAAGAATAAAACTGCAGCGAGTAATCATGTCAGGCATTGCAAATAAGATGGAGCTGCTTTACAGCATGATAAAGCTGCTTCTATGAACAAATGCAATGAAGAAGGTAAACTTAGAGCAATCAAAAAGTGTCAGTACCAATGATTATGGTGGCAGTAAAGAAAGGGACAGGATTTTATCACAAGTATGAACATTTGAAGGCCAGGAGACATCGAAAACACAGAAGTGTAATCAATGTCATGCTACCAAAGGGTGCGACAGTTGCACAACAAAGTAGCTTCAACTGTACTTAAAGATTCAACTAAATGAAATGGGTTGCAATGACATAATTGAATAATGAACCGGATGACGTCGATCTGGGAATGAGTTATGAGCAAAACTTGAGAATCTCAAGTTAATGATCCACAATAGCTAAGCAGACTTGTTCATCCATTGAGAAAAGTTCAAAAAACTCTCTCCAAGCCTTTAATTTTCTAGCATTCTGCTGCTAATGAATTCAAGGCCTCATCAACCGGATTCTATATGGATGACAGTGTTGCCTTTCTGCATTAGTGGATGCTAAGCCAGGACACTTGTACTCATTTTAAGCAAGTGGATATGAATGAATTTAAAACGTACCCTGAGACACAAATTCCTTTTGGTGTCACAAATTGGATAATCATGAGGGCAACAGTGAAGACGGTCCTTACAGCAGACAGCAGATTCAGATCACAACACTTCCATGACAAGCATAAACCCAGAAATTCCATTGAACAGCAGCAGGTTTCACCTGCAGGCAGGAGGAGAAGAGGCTACATTTTGTGGGACTGGAGGAGGGGATGGTGGAGGATTGAGGCTACTTTTAGTAGGATAGGATGCCATCATGTTAATCCCACATACACCTGCTGAATTGCCAGAATTTCGAATTATGTGAAATATAACCATTTATTCCCCAACTTGTTCCCCACGAATTCTTCACGATCCAGTAATCCGCGCCATTTTTAGAATCATAACAACAATCAAAACAGCATGGTCCAAAGAGGTAGAGCATGGCCCTGTAAATATCCCCTGCAACATAGTTTTAGAACAGATATAATTTGGTTCACCTGGAATTTAGTAAAATGTGATGGAATTTGATAGAAGCACCAACCCAGAGTATAACTGAAATCCTCTTTCACTGCCACATATCCCAACACTCACAGGTTGTGCTGCTACAGCTGTAGAAGCTCTTGCTCATTATATTGTGGTACATCTATGTAACCATCTATACTCACAACACGTCTTTTTCAACTGAAAATGGTGAATAACAACTGGTTGTCAAGCTAGCTTTGGATGTCAGAGATGTATGAGAAATTCTAAACTCAAGATCAGATAGAATGCAGAAACTAGAAACTTGTTACTGTTGCATGTCCCGTCCCGACCTTTAAAAGGGTAATCCTGTTCAGTGTCAATTCCACCATTTTTTACAACAAATTATAGGTATAGTCCATGAGTCCACCATTGCAGCCATTGTTATAAGATCTATCACAGTCAATTAAACTCCTGTTCAGACAGGCTTACTAAAGATCCAGTGACAATCTCATTGATACTTCAATTGCACGGTAGCTGAAAATGCCCAACATGCACCTAAATAACATAACTAAGAAGTGAGCAGGACTATGGCAGTTGATAGGTAAGAAGATCAATTGGAGTTCCCTCAAGTAAAATCAAAAGATAAGGCAGAAATTCTCATCCTTAATCACAAATTCTAAAAATGGAAATTGAAGCTACTACTACTTTATGTACATTTTTCTAGCCAAAAACTTCTCAAGAATCAGAAGACATGGAATTCAAGATCCGAATTCAGAGAAAGCTCTCAGTCACCATCAGTGCAATACCCAGTTAAATTTTTTCACCAGCCAAATGAAGTTCCAAATTTCTAGACAAAGAATAAAACTTTGCTGAAAAGCTTGAGTACAGATCAGGAGTTACTCTGACAATTCCTACAGAGTTGCTACTTGGGTCACTTCCGTCCACTTTTTCATACTAGATTTGTTTGTTTAGTTGCTACTTAGATCTAGATTACTACTTCGTCTTTTTCATCATTCTGGAAAAGGCTAACCGCTCTCCGCATATACACAGACTTCGACCAACAAACTAAGTACAGGTGATCAACAAATCAAATACCAAATGAAGCCAAAGGTACCGTGCATAGACTAGTAAATTGAAAAAAAAAAAAAACATAAGCATACCATCTTCAAACAACCCCATAATTTTAGATAAAGAGATAAAGACTGAAACTTTGTATCTCAACAAGATCATGATAAGATGAACACAACTCTGGATATATGGAAAGAAAAAAACTATACAAGAAGAAACAATCACATACCACAGCTTCCCTGGTCTTTGACATTGGTGACAGTTCCTTTATTCCTCCAATCCAGGGATGAAGGGATATCATATTTACCAACAGCACCAGAAGCTCCAATTGATGATGACCACGATTCAATCTAATCAAACCATCGCAGAAGCCGAGAAACCCAAATACTTAGCTTTGAACTCATGGTGAGTGAGATCGGCAAAGGCGTTGAGGAGAGGGTGTATGTGGAATTTGCCAAACTGTTATGTTTTGTAACATAGTCATAGTTGTCTTCAAGACTCTGAGTCTGTACTGTTTTTCTTCCTCAGAAGGATAAGTCTTCCCATGTTGTTTGCACCAATTCTCAAAAGATCAGCTGTGAGTGAAGATTTGCATATGGGCGATGAAATACTAGCAAAACAACCGTCAAATACGACCAAAACCAACTCATTCTTCTATTTTGGGAAGAATGATGGAAGGAATTAAGATTGTGATTTTCTCAGTTCTTGAGTTTGAGACACTAACGATTGATTCTCCTCGGAATGTGGTGGAACCAAGGAGCTGGAGAAACATACGCCTTTTTTATTATTGGTTGGATTTTGTGCCTAGGAAAGTTCCAGTTTGCCGCGACCAGCAGGGACATAAGGGGATGACCACACACAAGTGTACAGCAGATAACTGTACTGATCAGTCGAAGTCAATTGGTCGAATCCAACCATGAACCTTTTTTTCTTCGTTTGTGGTAATTCATGCTAACAAATGATTCCCTCATTTTGGTGGTTACTCAATTGAACACGTCTTTCTCGTAGGGCACCCAATAAAGAAAAAATCATCTATCAACGAACCATGCATGTATTAAATCTAGATAATGACTTTTCAGTTTTTCTGCTGCTCGAGAAGTTACTAGGTGTTTTTCCTTCTTCTGTCTCCACCTACCCGTTACCCAGTGTTTTGTCTTCTTTTCTAGCTGTTACCATACACACCACACGGGTGGAATAACTCAAAACTTGCGCCGAAAATTGAATGCTATATCAATTAGCATTTACATTTACCTTAAAATTTCAACCAACCAAGTTAATATGATTGATTTTCCTATAGTTTCTGAGAATTTTATAGCCTATAGGTTTTCATATGTTAAGTTCCTTTCATTTTTGTTTCTTCTCTTAGGTAATCTTTTTACCTTCCACTAATATCACCTCATAGCTGCCATTGACTTCACTAGAAGAAATGGAAAACTGCAACCAGCCAAAGTTGCCGAAGGCCATACTGGTAGTACAAAAGTCATTAGCTAGCTTAGAAAAAATATCGGACTGACTTTCTTTTACTACGATTTTCACCATTCTAACATGTTGAAAGTTTGTGGAGCATGGCATGGCATAATGAATATGTTAAGGCAAAACCTGAATGTGTCACATAGGTTAAAGTAACCTGAGTGTGTTACAATCTAGAACCTATTTGCCTCAAAAAGCTATGGTTTTGTTTTTTCCCTTAGATTCGTGTGCTGATCTTTCGCATTTCACTGATAATCTAATTTAATATTTAAATTTAATGGGTTCAAAATTTATGTTTAGATGTGTTAATCGGATTCACGTGTTGATAGTTCAAACGTATATGATAATAACGATATAAACTCTTAATTAATTAAATGGCTCTGCATTGCTTAAGCAAATCTTACTTAAATAAAAAAAATAGAACGTCTTAATTAATTAAATTTAAATGCCTCTAAATTATTTAGACAAAACTTACTTAAAACAACAAGTGATAAGTTGTTTATTTATCATTTAACGCACAGTACTCTCAAATATTAATATTTCAATACTTAATAATTTAGTAACTTAACAAATTCAAATTTCACTTCAGTTTTTATCAAATGCATATTGAGTCACAGCCAACTAAACAATCATATTGAGTCCACAAGTGCTCCACGTGACATGAGGAGCTTGTCCAAGGCTATTATACTCTATTCTATTCTATTTATTTATTTTTATTGAAGACTCTAAACCTTGAGAGAGATGGTTGAACCTACCCATATATTACACTGTGAAATTAAAGTTCTCATAAGATATACATCAAATATTTACAAGTGCTCAAAACTTTGGCTTGATAAAGAAATGTAATGAAAGAGATAGAAGAAATAGAACGAATAGAACCTCAAAATCAAGAAACAGAAGAACGAAAAAAATCCTTTTTTCCTTTCGAGAAGAACAAAAGAAGGTAATTTCATTGCAAAGATGGCTAGAAATCATCCAACACGCACAATTGGAAACTAAAATAAAAATGAAAAAATTATGGATTACGTTAGCACTAAAGCCCATTTTTTTTTTTTTTTTTTTTTTGTCGACGGAGTGGATGTTCGGGTCAAGTCCGTAAAGGCGGTCCGACTAATCCCACTCCGGCCCGGTCCAGCGCCCCAACCAGACCTAGCATGTTAGATGCACGGAGAAGCCGATATTGCTGCGGAGGTTCGACCCAAGACCTGACGGTCCCGAGGAAAAGGCGCCAACCACCAGCCCATTCACGTGGGGGACTAAAGCCCAATTGCCACGAAAAAATGTAGGGGAATCTAAAGTTCATGGGCTATTTTGTAACAATCCAATGTCTAAATTAATCATCTGGGCTCTTTCAAGGTACATTTATTTGCCCAATGGTAAGGAAAAACCACTTAACCAGCAAGGAGGGTAGACGGTGCAAAACAGCAAATTTGATTTTCTTTTATTAATGGGATAATTTCACAAACCTCCCCTAAACTTGTTCAATCATCCTTGTCAAATCATACCGGTCACAAAAATGGTGCCAAATTTCTTCCTCAATTGGTGCCTTTCTGTAACGGACTATTGATCAGCTTAATTAGACATCAAATTTCTATTATTCTAGTTAAATGTAATTAATTAATTCAGATGCATTTGTTCCCCATATTTACGTTAGTCATTAGTCCAAATTCATAGGACGAAGCGGTAATTTCAGCTATCACAATGTAAGCAAAGGGCCTCAAATCTCTATTAGGGGAGGTTAGCGAAATTTTTAAAACTTCAAGGGGTGTCAGTGTAAGTATTAGAAACCTCAGGGGAGGTTTGTGAAATTATCCCTTTATTAATTGCGGTTCTCCCACGAGGGAGCATATAAAAATGCGAGTCCAGTGTCATATTTCCTAAAAAACCTAATTCTGAATCTCTGATCCTATAAAAGTTAATTCTTTTTCATACCAGTATTTTTTTTTCCAGTGCAAATCCTGTGCCCAAAACTATGCTTTAAAGTCTGAAATTGTTATAGTCACCGTCTACCTGGAAAGATCGATCTTTAGCGCCCCTTCCTGGTTAATCAAAAAAGGCCAAATTTCCTAACCATGGACCAGCGTCTACCAGCAGGATACGGTACGTCAAATACGCTGAAGCTATGAGACACGTATCTCTGCCACGCCACGCTATTCTTCATATTTAAGCACACAAGGAAATACGCTACGAACATCCTTTTCTTTTTTTCTTTTTTTATTTCCCTTAAAAAAGCAGCATAGATTCTCCGGATAATATCTTGTCGGTGCCAATTATGGATATTGATCCTCGGCAATACGAGAATGTCGTAAGCTCCGCTTGTTTTCCTCAATCTGGGTTTATCCTATTTCTCTCGATTTTTTTTTTAATTTTTGAATTTGTCATTGATGTTGACTTTCTGAACCAACTCGAATGAGCAAGGGTTTGTCAGTTTTGATTTTAATTTGGGTTTTGGAAATTAATTGTGGGTCTTTTCCTCGGAGCCCAGCAAAAGTATAACAAAGAAAATTATAAGGTACGAGGGTTTTGGAGAACTACATGTTTGTCTTTGGGAAAATTTGTGTCATGCAATGTTCAGCAGCAAGTTGAATTTTTTTAAAAAGATGGTTTTCTTCTCTTCTTCTTCTTCTTGTTTTCTATCGTATTAATCGAGGGAGACCGGAGGGAGTAGACGTGGTTAGTTACTGGAAGATCAGTCTGGAATAAGAATCACTGTACATTGTTGAATTGGATTTTTGGTAAACTGATTGTTTTTTTAGTATTTAAACTGTTTAATCATTGATTGAAGTAAAAGAAAAAAGGATAAATTGTGCAAAGGGAAATTGGACCATTTTGGCTTTTAGCTTTTGCTCCCATGGTCAGGTGAGGAATATACTGATATCGTCTTTGTTTGACATGATCAGTTGTAACTCTTCATTATACCTGTCTCGTTGTGGAGTTTTGGATATTGTTATAGTAAAGTGATGCTTTTGACATACACTTGGACAGAAGATAGAGAAGTTCAAAGGCATGTACTTTCTCAATTGTGATACATTTCAATGTTGATAGGAAAATCTACCAAAAAAAAAAAAAGGGAATGTGGTAGGAATTAAACGCGGTTAACTACTAATTTATGCACTTCAGGCTTGAAACTTGCTCAAACTGCTAATAGTTAAAAGGCCTTCTTGTGATGCATTACTTTTTGGAATTTATTTTTGCCTATGTTCTTGTTATCTGTCTGTAATTTTAGTCTTTTGCATTAACATCTTAACTATCCATGACTTCATGTTTATCTTGGATGAAACATACCTCTGGAGGCACTCTTCAGTTTGACCTGTTGGCCTTAATCGTCCCAAAGTCTTCTGAGCAGTGTTGATCCCATAGATGTTAATTCCGTACACAATAAAGATCAAAATAGAGTCCTGTTGCTCGTTTATTGAAAAAACTCTATGACGCTCTTCAACTTCAATTTTGCATGCCTTTTTGACAGGCCATTAATGACAGTGATATCCACAACATTGTCCTGTCATATCTTGTCCACAATTGCTTCAAAGACACTGTGGAATCTTTTACTTCCTCAACTACAATGAGGCAGTCAGTTGATCATCTCGAGGACATGGAGAAAAGAAAAAGTAGGTGTTTATCTTTAATTACCAATAGATAGAGTAATATTTGTGAAATGAGATCTATGATTCTTAATCGTCTCAAATTTGAAAGCTTGTGGTAAATCTGTTAAACCTGATATTCTGAATTGGCATATTTTGGAAATGTATCCTGATAATATTTTTCGTGTGTCATCTTCTTTAATAGTTTTTATTTGGCATGATAATATTTTTCGTCTGTCATCTTCTCTAATAATGTATGAGGTGGCTAATAAGTTTGAGGTATCAAATAGTAATCAGTTCTGGACCTACTGTCAAAGTTAATATTTGTTGGTGACTTGCTTTCCCTTTGAAGAACTAGTGGTCAGAAGCTGATGTTGGAGGATACATGGTGGATTGTAGTTCTTTGAATGGCGTAAGAAGTTAGATTAGAGTTCTACAAGCCAGCTTTTTGTGCAGTTTTCTTGAGTGCATTGTGTCCTGATTATGAGTTTGCTGTATCATATTTATTGCGGTTTCCCACATCTTTATATGGCATAGTTAAGTGATGATCTTGCAAATTTTTTGCTCAGAAATATTTCATTCTGCATTAGAGGGGAATGCTTTGGAGGCCATTGAGTTGACTGGACAGATTGCACCTGACTTATTGGAGAAAAATAAGGACTTACATTTTGATCTTTTAAGCCTTCGTTTTGTTGAACTTGTGTGCTCAAGGAAATGGTGAGCAAAGTTGCATGGTCTTTTCTGACTTGCGTTGTGTCTGATCATCTTCTTGGCTAAACTTCTATTTCTATGGCAGCACAGAAGCGCTTGGATTTGCTCAATCAGAGTTGACTCCTTTTGGGAAGGTGCAGAAACACCTGAAAAAACTTGAGGTATGTTCATAAGCTAGCTGAGTTATCTTCAAATTTACCTTTCAATTGCCAGCTTGCTTTCAGGTTACAAACTGATTGTTGATTCAGGATTTTATTGCTCTACTGGCATATGAAGAGCCAGAGAAATCCCCAATGTTTCATCTTCTAAGCTCGGAGTACCGGCAGCATGTTGCAGATAGTCTAAATCGAGCCATTCTTGGTGTGTTTCTTTTAAATACTGTTTGCCTCTTACTAGTGCATTCGTGGCAAAACTTTTCTGTGTTTTTCTCCTGGAAATTATTTTTGCTTAAACATGTCTATATACCTAATTCCTATAGCTTCAAATTTATAATGCTTTTAATTCTTATGTTTGTTTTCCACTGCTTGACTTATTTTAATGCCAGCACACGCCAACCTGCCGAGCTATTCTGCATTAGAAAGGCTAGTACAGCAGATGACAGTTGTTAGACAATGCTTGGGTGAAGAGTGTGGAAAGGTTTGATGTTACACATGGTTTCCTCTTTCTTTTTGTTGATTAATTTGTGAAGTTATGCTTAAGGTTTACTTGTTTCATTTTCTAACAAATGACAGTTTGATGATGCAAAACGAATTTAGAAAGAGCAAAAAGAAGAGAAAGGAAGCAAGGGCATTATATTAGAAGGATTTGCATGGTTCACTTGTCTCATCATCTTAAATTGTAATATTCATAAATGTGGATTGCCCAAGTCTCATTGAGAGGAAACTGCATAATGGTAGAGTGGCAATTGAGGCTAGTAGAAACGTCATTTGATGTAGGATTTAGGTGAAGGTTGAATATTTTGGTTGCTCAGTGTGTAAGGAACATACAATAATGGAGTACCCTCTATTCCTTGCTTTGTAGTTTTTGCACGTTTAGTTATTCATCCTGGGCTCAAATTCTGTATGACTAATTTTTCTCTGAATTCCTAGGAAGGGCATCCGCCATTTTCTCTCAAGGACTTCGTAAAAAGCTAGTTGAACAGTTTGCCTTGCAGTGGAAGATGCAGTATGAGTCAGGATAAAGTTGCCATGCATATGGTTCTTGTTGATCTCGAGTTAATGGACATCTTGCAGATTTGCAGTATATGGCAATTGCATGGCTTCTGTAGTTTTGTTGTTCGAATGCGAGGGTTCTTCAGTAAAAAGAAGTTTACAATGCAGTAACCTTCTCCTTCCAGCCTCTGAAACCAATTTTCTTTTCCTCCTGAAACATGGCTACCTTCATCTGGATTGATGAAGGCAAGGCCCCAGGGATCGGTGGCTTTTACTTGTTCCTGACTATATAGCGGTGTAGAGCTGTGGGATGTGGTTTTGCCTAAGGATTGCTGGTATAACAGATTCAATCAGATTTTAGTTGTCTTATCTCCTCTTTGCTTGAACGATTTAGGTGCTGTCCCAGGTTACCAACGAGAAGTTCTGTGAAAAATGGGCGGAGGCATTGCTATTTTCAATCGAGCAAATTCAGCTATAGAGGAATATTTGTTTTTGTTAAATCGTTTTGTTGTATATTCTGTTCAATAGGTGAGTAGTGTTTATCTCTGGTGATGATTTTTTCTGCATTTTCACACTCTTTTGAACTCGATGAATCTCTGCAAAAGGAACGTCTTTACCAGTTTACGTGGGCTCACCTTTAGATAGGGAAAAAATAAGGAGCAACAACGAGCCCTAGTAAACCAACTACCTCTAGAGTAGTTGGCCACCATATGTCTCGTGAGGTGGGATGTTAAGGGTTGAAATCTTGTCTTTTATAAAAATTGTTATTTAATGTGGCTTTTCTTAAATTCATATGGACTTCCGTGACTCTGTTGGGTTACCTTTAAAATGAGTTAGATTAGAACATGGAGTAGAGGTAAATGATGAAAATTGATTAAAAAAAAAAAAGGACAATGAGTCCTAGCAGGATAACAGACCCTGTAGCAACCCGCTAGAACAGGTTTCTTTAGTATTGCAAAGGGCTCCTTTATGAATCTCTTGGACTGCCACCACTATTTATCCCCAATCTCTCTTCACCACAAATTCAACCGGCGCATTTCCTTCGCCTCCTGCTTCCCCTAATCTTCTCCGGAACCCTGATGGGTGGCACGTCGTGTGCCTATAGGCTGTGGATTATTTTGTAATCCTTTTAATTGCAGAATGCACTCAACGACAAGTCTGATTCATCCAAAGTTTCATTTGAAGTGTTAATTTTGATAAATGTCTACCAGAAACAATTTGAGTTAAAGACCAAAAGTTAAAAAAAAAAAGAAAAAAAAAGAGACAATCCCACAGCAATTGGGTGGATACGAGGAATGGCGGTTTCTTCTGGTGGACTGCAGTGGAAGCCGCGACAGAGTTGCATGTGATGTTCCAACAAGTGAGTTATAGTCTTTTCCTGTTGGCCTAAAAAATATTTATCGGACAAGCCGGTGGCCTATTTCCCTTTACGGACCGAGACGTTGAAATTTTAGGTTATTTACTACTTTTCATTTGATTTGACGTCCTGATCAAATAATTTGCTGATGTATTCTAGACGACGGAAAACGAATCCTTTGGCTTTCAATTTTGAAGTGAACCCAATATCCAAAGCTGCTCAGTTATCTGGTGTCGTCCCCCTACAAAGACTGGTAGTGCACATTAGATTATCAGAAACGGATAATTGGGCCACAATCTGGGACCAACACCATGCTAACAATCGGTTGAACATAAAACTGAGTGCCCAAGTTTTCTTCCTTCGGCCAAGATTACAGCCCGAATCAGTTGAAGCGGGTCGGGTGGCGACGTATATAACGATGATATATCCTGCCCGCGCAGGTACTTCGTCCTCTCTAATCCAAAAGTACACAAACAAACACAGCAGAGCAGAGGGAGTTGAAGATGCAGTGTTTGGTTTCTCCTCCGCAACGGTCCCTGAATCTAAATTCTCGTAGCAATGAAGCGTGGCTCTCAATTTCGGCTTTCTTTTCCCAACGTCCTCTTCCATATTGGTAAGCTAAAGCTCTTATCTTTTTCACTAATATTCGCTATTATCCGCTGCTTCCTGATTTTACTAGTCCAACTTTTGCTCAACTGCGGATGGCGTTGAGCATCTATATTTTTTTCCCCTCAGTTGGGTGGAGCTGAGGAGTCTTTGGTTCCATTTAAATGTAGAAATTAGTTGTTCTAAAGAATTCTCTGTAGATGCTTCCTTGTACTTGCTTACCCTGAACATGTTACGAATAGTATCTGGAGCTCACTTCCACGGAAACAAGAAATCGTCTGATTGTGGAATGACCAATTCCGATATTCGGCAGAAATGGGCTTTAAACGTTCGGATTGTATTTTGCAGAAATGGCTCTAGTATGTTTAACTATATAGTTTGCATTGTATTTTGCAAAAATGCGCGCCGATTTTTTGATTGTATTACCTCATAATCAGCGCAGTGCTCTGTTACCTGCTTTATTTTGACATTTGTTTGGAGCTGATGTGGGAATCCTGTCATTTGTTTATTTTTTCAGTGTTTATAACAGGAGCAGGTTTAGAAATGCAAGAGGTCGCGGTCTGAAATGCGCTGTTGCTATAAAAAAGGAGCTTGCTTTGCCTTCCGAAGAAACTTTAATTAGAGAACCACATAAGTACTTTGATCAGGTCATAATAACTGTTCGTGCTGGAGATGGTGGTCATGGTGCAATCCTCAGTATGCCAAATCAGAAACCTCCTCCTAAGTCGAAAGGAAAATTTGATAAAGACAAGAACAGGAAGAAAAGTTCGTACAAAAGGGATTTTGATGGCTCTCTCATCCTCCCTGTTGGTGGCCGCGGTGGAGATGTTGTGATTTACGTTGATGAGAGCAAGGATACATTGTTGGAGTTTCATAGGAAGAGTAGTTTTAAAGCAAAGCGTGGGGAAATGTTGCTGCAATGGTGTCTTGACATCTCTTTTGCATGATGGGCTTAACGCACCAGATTTGCGTATTCCAGTACCTCCAGGTATCTTGACAGTAACTCTACATCGCTAACTGTAGAAATTATGGTTCCTCAAAAGGAAAGAATCTAAATATGCTACTTTTTCATCTCACCACAACGAAGATGGTCAATATCCATCTGACGTATTTCTTCTTTATATGGCAGGCACAGTAGTAAAGCACAAGAAAGGAAAATTTTTGGCTGATCTAGCTAATCCAGGTGATCAAGTTCTTGTTGCGAGGGGTGGACAAGGAGGGGTGAGAAACTTATGATCTCAAACATGGCAATGAATGCGTGATGTCCATGCCTCTGTCTTCTTCCATTACTTCAAAGAGAAATTTTAGTCTGATGATGAAAATATAGTATTTGAGTCTGAAAAGTGGGAAGCAACACCAAAGTTTCTGGATTCTGTTTTTAGTTGTGGTTATTTTTGAATGTTGACGTCCCCTTTTCTTCTGGCAGATTAGCCTATTGGAAATGCCTGAGCATAGAAAGAAAAAGATGATGTTTTTGACTACAAATGTAATGAGAGATGAGAGTGATAAGGTAAATATCAATTTTTTCATGGCCATCTTCTGAACAACCATTTTTTGCACAAATTTGATTGTGTGAAAATTAATTTATGTCAAGAAGAATATTTATGCTTGAAGCAAGCTGCGCAGCATTTCTATGATCAAGTAGTGCTCCCTGCATTTACAAATAATTTGAAAGGGGAATGTTTCTAGATTCTGATCTAACTTCTTCATGTGCTCCATACATGTGAAATTGCAACTTGTGGAAGTAGCCACTTGGTGCCAATGGTGCTCTAAATTGGTCTCTTCCCAGTCATCTCATTCCTGTAACCCCTTGTTTAGGAGATTCCAGAATGGTATTATTCGACACATCTTGGAATTCTATTAACTCCCAAAATACCTAGTTGGTACTGAGTTCACCAATGCAATATGAAAAAGAATGGTTGCAGAAACTGAAAAGAATTTTTTTTTTGGTTGAGGAGTGCCTTGGCATGTATTCATAAGGCAAGCACAGTTATGACAATGTGGTTAAGCTTATCTACATACTAAATTACTAGAATATCATACATGTAGATATCATTGTCCAAATACATACAGAAGCATTCATTCTGAAATTCTCTTCTCTTTATTGCTAATAAATGTATAGATGGCACAGGATCTCTGTGGATCAAGCTTAAATACAAGGGATCTCTTTTTATTGTTCCTAATTTAAGCCCTCATATTAGTATTATCATTATGAGATTAGACAGGCACCTTTCAGCTATTTATCTCATTGAGATGAATTCTCTTGGCTGTACCGACTAAGCATAGTTATTGAATACCCAGACCATTTTGACATGGACTGGCTTGGTTACTGACACATTATAGTCTAGAAGCATGATTTAGAATTTTTTGCATTTTAATGATGAAAAGTGAAAACCTGCTTAAATAGCATTAAGGTAAGCTCTTGAAATGGGAATCTTTGCCTAGTTAAAATAGCGTCCTAGTCCTGCATTTTCATACATTGACAAACTTTTGATCTCATTCACAGCACCTTGCAGGTTTTAGTTTTTGGTCAGCCAGGAGAGGAGGTTAGTTTGCAGTTGATATTAAGAGTGGTAGCAGATGTTGGTCTTGTGGTAAGTATTTCTTTACCCTACTTATCCTGGTTTATACTTAGCTTCTCCGTTTGCATGAGTATAGCTTGGGTGATGCACTCAACAATCAAGTAATATATACTTATTATCTGGCGACATCATTGTTCCTTTGAATTAACTGATTGTCCGTTTTGCAGACCAGCATGTGGTCTGAGTTTCTCCTGTCTGAGAATTTGTTCCGTCTTTTGATTTTCAGGGACTCCCAAATGCTGGAAAATCCACACTATTAGCATCCATTACACTAGCTAAGCCTGATATTGCTGATTATCCCTTCACAACATTGAAGCCAAACCTTGGACGCCTTGATGGTGACCCTAGTTTGGGTGCGCAGCAATATTCATCCGAAGCAACTCTGGCAGACTTGCCTGGACTTATTGAAGGTGCTCATCTAGGGAAGGTAAATTGGATATTACAATCTCGTGAACACATTAATGGTTTGGCATTGCCTTACATTAGGATTATAGCTATGATTGAATTCTTCATTAATTTCACTAGACTTATCAAAGGTTTGTCAATTTTCAGGGTCTTGGTCGCAATTTCTTGAGGCATTTGAGGAGAACTAGGGTGTTGGTCCATGTTGTTGATGCAGCTTCAGAGGACCCTGTGGCGGATTATAGAACGGTAAAAGAAGTATGTGTCACTAGCTTCAACCATTTCTTCTTTGTTTTTGTTCGCAACTGTTTCTCCTGAAAGTTTTTCTTCTCTAAGGGATCTTTCATGGACTTTGGTGTAAAAGATGTATTTCTGATGATGGTTAGTGGTCTCAATTTTGTGTTGTCTCCTGGCCCTACTTGCTACCTATTGGGGTCACTAGACATACTCTTTAAAATATACAGGATTCTGATAATAAGCTAGAATTTCCAATGAATGTAAGCATATTAAATCTGCACACGAGGCAAACTGCTTTGCTAATCTTTCTGATACAACTCTAAAATTCTATAGCATGAATCACAAATGTGGACTGTAGATGTATACTTCACAGTTTTATTCATTCTCATGTAAAACAGATTAGGGAAAAAGGATGAATTTTGTGATAACGTATC